AGGTTACATTGATGCCACACAAACCATTCTAGTTATATTAACAATGACTGGACTTTTTCTGGTCAGACCTCAAGTGTGCACACATGCATAATAGGTTTATTCAAATAAAGATAACTTCATAACCTCAAAAACTAGTTTGTTTTTAATTGAAATCATAGGGATGAAGATTGATTCTATGATAGAGAAAGTCAGAGAAAGTATAATTCCATTAAGCACCAGATGAATCAGGCTGTACCTTTCATTTCCAGCCTTCTCCCCTTTTCTCTCCACATTTCTTCTCTCTGTCTTTAATTAAAAAGCAAACAAGTCTTTTAAGGAAGCTCAGTTTCAGAAGTTCCTATTATACCCCACTCCCACAGATTTATACAGAGACAGAGACACTGCTTGTAATTCGCTGGAAATGAAGAAAAATAAGGTATCTCACCAAAGAATCAGCAAACAACATGAGGACATGAAAAAAAATATAGCCAGAGCTTCTCTGGCTTATGTAGGAAAATCAAAGAACCATGAAATTAATTTTATTTGTCATTAAAAGATACTAGACTTAGAATCCAGGACGTGATTATGTAATTATAAATTAATTTCAGTAGCATGCTCTCATCTGAACTAAATGTCAGCAGTAGTTATGAGAAGTATGTTAATGAGCATCACAAAAGCCGGTCTGCTTGCTTGTGCCTCCAGATGCCCGGCAGTAGAGATCAAGCCTCCTGCTGCAAGGGGGCCTGCTGTGGTTGTCTAAGACTCCCCAGTGCACGTGATCAGTTTTATAGGAAGCGACTCTCTTTAACATGTTCCTGCTTAACTGAAAAGGAGGGATGAGAAGGGTGTCCACAGGCGGCACTCAAGTGTGGAATAAACATTAATACAGCAGTTGAAATGTGAAGTTGAACATTTCAATTTCAAAATGGTGTTCAGGAGCATCTGGTGACACATCTATATTTTAACTCCGGTGAAGTGTGAAAATTAAATGAATACTATGTCAGGTGCTATTTATGAATTATGACCTCCCTGCTTAAATAGATTGTTTTTTATAGTTAGGGTGGCACACCTCATTTGTGAAAAATGCCTCTCTGGCATTCACACACTGCTTCTTATTTCTTCTAGTCATTTTATTAATTGTATATGTTTGCCAAGGAAGAGCCCAAGCATACCTATATCTTGAATTAAACTGGGTAGTGCTCGGGTTTAAGATAGTGGATTTGTCATCAAGTTGACTGCCTCATGTTCAGCCAGGGTTAAACTCAATGCTTGATATTTGTGCTTATGCAAAAGTCTCACGGAAGAAATGACAATTCTCATTTGTAATTGACCTTTTTCTCACAAATTGTTATTCCTGCCACTTTGCCCTTCAGAATGTGATGGGGGAAGTTGAGGCAGCTCAGGGTGCAGAGGAGCCACTGGGGGAGGGGCGGCTCTGTCCATGCCCGGTGTGAGGACTCACCTAGGCCTCCTTGCTTACGTAGGTGTGTCCCATCACTGCTTCCTCTGTCAAAGCCCACAAAGAAAGTTTGCCATGCCGGTACTTATGGTCGTGATGATGCCTTGGCCTTAATGCATTCTCAGGGACAAGGTAGTTTGTTCTGTGAGGATTCGATTGTAAACTGTTTCTTATAATCCTGGGCTAAGACAGCAAAGCCCAAACAATTAATTGCTTACAGTCAAGGATCCTGGTTTGTTTTAGAACATTCTAGGGTGTGAAGCCCAGGATACAGGCCGGTTTCTACAGAAGGCGGTGGTGACATTTCGGTGATCCCGAATACTGCTGTGGCTTTCATTTCACCATCTGGGGCTCTGGGGCTCTCGGGCTCTTGCATTTAGACCAGGTATGAGATTCTCGTTGGCACAGGCAAGCCCCACTTTCTCAAAGCAGTGCTTTCCTGACATCCTCATCATGGGATGGATCTCACTTACCCAGAGAAACAACAGGTCTGTGTTCTTGACAAAGGGATTGGCAGGCCACTTGTCTTAAGTATATCCAACACATGAGTGAAGCTAAATGGTCCCACTCTAAGTCTCCCATCAGTAAGCCTCTCCTTGCACAATAAGCTCCTGAATCAGTTAGGATTCTGCAAGGAACAAAAATATCCAACTTAAAAAGCCTTGAGTAGTAAAGACATTTCATGTTTCAGAACAAAAAGAGGGTGGTTCCAGGCTGGTTCCGCAGCTCCTGTCCCCTTATGGTTTCAGACGGCTGGGAAACACACGAGCCACCAGTAGGCCGAAGAAGTGAATCCTTTGCAACATTGCGTCTCTTTCAGTGAGAAAGCCTTTCCCAGAAGCCCCAGGCTGATATCCCCTGAAGTCTTTGTCCAGGGAGGACCCAGGACGTTCTCCCAGACTTTCCTCCTCTCCCATATGTCCTTTATTCTCTGTGATCTATCCATTCGGGTCTTAAATAATCTGCTCTCTACCCTCTATACAGCAATTTTCAACCTTTTTCATCTCATGGCACACAGGAGCTAATTACTAAAATTCTGGAGCACACCAAAAAATATATTTTTTGCCTATATGACCAATCCCCTCCCCCCCAAAAAAACCAGATATAATGTTGATTCATTCACACTGAATGGCTATTGTTGTATTGGCTGTTGTCATTTTTTTTTATTTGGCAATCTAAGGCACAGGTGGCGAACACAAGGCCCACAGGCCAAATCCGGCCCTCCACCTTGTTTTATCTGGCCCAGCACCTTGTTTCTACCCAGTGGCAGCACTGAGCTCCTTGTCCCTAGTTAAGGAGTAGTTACATTTGTACAGTCCTAAAATTACATTCAGCCCTTTGAAGGCAACCCCGAGGCTGATGTGGCCCTGGTGAAAATGAGTTGGACACCCTGATCTAAGGGAAAAGAGGTCAGTGCCCCAACTAAATAGTCAGGTGTTGCATGTTTTAAAAATTCCTGTGGCCACACCGGTTGAAAATCGCTGCTCTATTTCTCTGTTTAGCATGTTAATTCAAATCCTCATTAACCCCACCTGTTTTCTCTGCTTCCAGGTTATCTTCTACAATGCCTTTGAAGTGATCTTTAAAACACAAATCTCATGATGTCACTATCCTGCATAAAACCCTTAAGTGGTTCTTAATCACATATACAATCACATTTCCATTTTTCTCCTCACTATAAGAATGACCTCTCCCATCTTTAAAAAGGAAAAATATCTTACATGGAAGTCCAAGACAGCTAATGATGGCCGGAGAGCTGGAAATGGGGGCGGGGAAGGGGCTCGTAGTTCAGCCCAGTGGATGCCTCTGCTTCCCTTACATGGAGGCTCCAAAGCCTTTCCTTGGGTCCTTGGTAATGCAGGCAAATGGAAACACCTCCTAGGCAGTTAGCTTGGACCTCAGGCGTGTCAGTCAGGCTAATGGCACAGACTCAGATGGCAGTGGGAGCAAAGGGTAGGAACATGCAGGGTGAGAAGGGAAGAGGACCTTCCAGAAAGATAGCTCCAGGAGTTATATTGACACAATGCCCCAAGTATGTAGTATTCAGTAACATAACATTTCTATTTCATCTTTCAAATCCTAAGAATGTGCCTTGTAGGAGAATTTATGTTTTGATTGTGTTAGATGTGTCAACCCAGTCAGACGCTTGAGGGCAAGGTGAGGATGGTTGAAGACCAAAATACAACTAATATCAAAAATGGAGAATAACAAATTGTAATTGTATGAGTTGTTCCTGTTTTCACATTTTCATTCTAAGGTAAAAGATCTGTGATTTGCTTTGATAGTCCCTAAAATTAATCTCTTTTTTCTTTCCACAAGGCTTTTCATATCAGAAATCCTGAGTTGACCAACATTTCATGTTTCCAATTCTAATCAGGGTAGAAACAGTTTGGGGTTGAAACAGGATTAAGAGTGGAATTTCAAAAAGAACTATAATAACTGAATATGCTAATTATTCTCCTTGCTCTTGATAGCAACCTGTATTTACTCTTTGTCTATTTAAGAATTCAGTCTTTTGTGTTGTTCCGTGCAGACTAAAGAGCTATTTAGATGCAATTTACATTCTGTTACAGAATATGACTTTTCTTAACGAGGAGGTTAAATATTAATGAAGACTAATTGATGAATAATTTTAGCAAGTAAAGACATTATCGCTTTGGTGCAAGAGCTTACAGGGTTGCAGCAGGTATTTGCATACTCAGCTCATTGTCAAAAGGGAGGGAGGAGAAAGCAGAGGAGCTGGACAGAGGGCTCCAGGCAGTGATGCGGGCCATTCCAACCAGACCGGACTGTCCAGCTCTATCTGCTTTTATCCATTCTCCTTCAGAGGAGGGTGTGACGAGAGCTCGTCTCTTTGTGTATCATACGGGCTCCAGGCGAGCCGGCCTTCAGTCTTGCTTCCGTCTGACTCTGACCACCCCACCCCCACCTCCTGTCTACTGAGGCCTCATCTCTGCCATCACGGTAGGTTTTTTAGCTTTTGCCTGACTGTCTGCCTCCGTCACACCCGAGCTGACCTGTGTCTGACCCCCAGTCTTTCCTGTCAGACTGTACAGGCGAGTTTGTACAGGCAGCTTCCTCGTGGCTCCCGGTGGCTCTGTGGGGTCCGGCTGCGGGCCTCTGTCACTTACTGGCTCTTCCGGGCTGTCCAGCTGGGGAACCCCCTGCCCCACATCATCCCCACTTTCAAATGGAGCTTCACAGAAACTCGGCACCAGCAAGAAGCAGAAAATATGCATTAATTGCCTGAGGCTTCAAACCGATTTTGATTCTCTAACCTTTTAAAATGTGATGTGTGTTTAAATTAAGAGTAGCAGAGACAAAAATGATGTGGGAAAGTGATAATGTTATCCTAGCCTATTTCAGTGACATTGTAACACGGTTAAGAAAATTGACTGTCAGATTTGATCAGTGTTGTTGAAGCGAGCGAGCCATCATTCTCCGAGTGGCTGGAGTCAAATTCGCACCCGGCAGGAACGGTTTTAATGACTGAAGAATCCAGTTACCACGCGAAGCAGCCTAGGCATTGCTGACCTCCTGCGTTGCCTCTCTTGTTTTTCAGGTACCACGTGCTTGATTGCTCTGCTATCAGATAAAGACCTCACCGTGGCCAATGTGGGTGACTCCCGTGGGGTCCTCTGTGACAAGGACGGGAACGCCATTCCTTTGTCTCATGATCACAAGCCGTACCAGCTGAAGGAAAGAAAGAGGATAAAGAGAGCTGGTGAGCTTGTGATCGCCCCCAAGCACTGTCTGCTGTCTCGCTGGGTGGACGGGGTTGGGGGGGGAGGGGTCCTTGCTTGGGTAGCCCCTGGGGCATAAGGTGTTTAGTTACTGGTGATCAGTAGACCAGCACCGGGGCTGCTGCTGAGGTAGCCGAGGCTGGACTCACAACATTGCCTATCAAACACATGGCTGCTGAATCTGCTCTTCTTCATGGCCAAAGACTCCAAAGGGCCAAAAGGAGCCCTTTACTAGTTTCAAGGCTGCTGAGATCTTTAGGCCCCTGCTTGAAATATCTTGCTTCCCTTCAGCTGTGCCGAACTACTAACCACTCCCCGAGTGGACCCTGTTTCTGATGCCTCTGTGCCTGTGCAGGTGCTGTCTTCACTGCCTAGCAGACAACAGCTACATGGCCTGTGAGGCTGAGCTTAGGGATGTCCTTTTAGAAGCCTTCCCTGGCACCCTGAGCCACGGGCTCCCCTGGGCTGGGTTAAGTGCCTCTTCAGTCTTTTCCCAGCATCCTATGTGGGCCTCTGGGCCGCCTTTTATAAAGTATAGCTCTCTTATCTGTCTTGCCTTCCCAACTGTGAGGTCTTTGAGGCAAGAGCTTGTTCTGTTTATTTATATCATCCCACACCTCACTCAGTACCTGGTATAAGGACATATTTTGAGGGGTGAGAATCCCTTGTGTATTCATTTTTTTCAACAACTAGGGATTGGGGGTATAAACTTACATTCTGGAACTGGGATGAGGGTGGGGGATGTAATAGACATTAACAAATAAATAAAACAAGTAAATTATCTAGAGTATTACAAGGTGAGATATTACCAGGTGAAAACTGTTATGGAAAGAGAACATGCAGGTGAGGGAATGGCGAGTATCAGGAAGTGGTCTGTGTAGGCTCACGAAGGTGACACTGGGACAAATACTTGAAGGAAGGTTATCAATTTATAGTTACATTTTCATGATGAGATGTGTGGGCTACAGTTCTTTTCGGCCTGTGGACCGGAGGTACCCTTCCCTGGCCTCTCCACACGCACAGCTGCAGCCTGTGTGCCGTGCATGATGCGCCCGCTGCAGGCCCGGCTGTGGGGGTTGGGCGTGTGCCCTGGGTCTCTGGCCAGGACTGGCCCCTGCTGCCAGGGGTAATTTGCAGGTTGACTCTCAGTCTCTACAGGTCAGCTGCTGCCCAGAACCTAATCAGCATTTGAGTCTTCTCAGTAGGAAGCAGTACCATTGAGTCAAAAAGTGTTGAATTTTATTACACCCTCCTGCTTCAGTGACTGCATGTGATGCAGAATAATTTTTAATGAAAGCTTGGGTCGAGTTTTCTGTTAATGGGATGGAACAAACGATGTCCCAAGAGCGTCCATCAAGCTTTGATGGGCTGCAAGCAGTATGAGTGAAATGCTCTGGCTTCCTTACTTACAAGGACACCGTCTCCCACGAGCCCCCGGTGACCCTGAATTGAGATACAGTTAGCCTTTTCTTGTGTAAGCGTAGGCAAGGCTGTGTATGCAATACACCTGGAAATGTCATCTTAGCGTCCATCACTGTTCTGAAATGTTACTCCCGTTTGACCCTCCTTTTTTCATGCCATCCCACCACCTCCACCCTGCCCTGCAGGGATGCCTTGTAGAAGCAAATTTGGAAATATCTCAGAGGAGCTGGATCTAACCTGTCCAGGGGATGGTTTATAGCAAAACTGAAGTGACCATTATTGGTTTCATTACCTTCATGTGGATTTTCTCTGACTTCAGCCTTCCTTTTGGGACATCCATCTCCCCCTTTTTTGTGTGATAATTTGCTGCAACCAGTCTGCACCAAACACATGGTGGTCTTCCTGGCTCCATTCCTGGTGCTGTTTCCCACAACAGGGGCACCAGCTGCCATTGTGTGATATCACTCGGTGCTGGGAGCCACACCTAGCAATTTACATGCACTTTCTCTCCCTATTTGTGAGGTCAATTATGTCATCATTTTACAACCAAGAAAACGGAGCCTTCAAGAGGCCTGTGTATACATGACACAGCCAGTGAATGGTGAGGCCGGAGTTGAGACCGGCTGACTCCACCGCCCGCGCTCTTCCCGTCCCACCACACTTCCTGGCGTGTCCTCATGCGTCCCTGCCCATGGAAGTCCTGCCCATCGCTCACAGCCCAGCTTCAACATTCACTCCTCCCTGATCTTCACAACTGCACACCGCCCCTTCCTCCTCATTTGCCGACAGCATTTGCAGGTGCCAGGCTCTCCTGGCAAGAATACTGCTTTGTGCTTGTGAGTGTTAGTACATGTGGATTTGATTTCCCGCCAGACTGGCTACTTCTTTAGAGAAAGGTCTGGATCTCATATAACTCTATAGCCTGCAAATTGCCTCGCATGGAGTATGTGCTTAATAACTATCCGACAAATAATAGGTGAATGGACAAAGTTCTAATTAAAGAAAAATAATACATAATATTGAGTGCATGTTATATCCAGGGATTATACTGAGTTATATGGAATAATGCCTTTATTTCTCACAACATGATGGAATGTGTACTATTATCGTCCCCACTTTGCAGCCAAGGAAACTGATGAGAGAGAGAGAGAGCTTCTCATCCAAAGTCACACATAGCTGGAAGTAACGAAGCCAGTCTGACCCGAGAGCTGAGCCTTGGAACACTGTGCTAAAATACACACCTTATTTTTCAATCCTGATCCTATTTGGGGTGCTGTTTTGAGATCTATATAGGCACAGCCAAAGGCATCCCAAGCTAAAATATGGATCCCAGTGGCTGTCTCTGGTACCTGCCCCCTGCCTTTTGCCATTCTCCTCCAATCTCCATCCTAGTGCGCCCTCCTGTCAATCACTGAGCTATCAAGCTGCTGTTAAGTTAAAACCGATCCATACATATTTCTTACCCTCAATATTCTTATTGATATTTCCTTAAAGTCTTTTAAGAGTGAGGGCATGAGCGCCTCCTGGTAGAGGGTCAGACCTCAAGCCGTGCAGCAGGGCTGCTGTTCTTTCCTGGCAGCACCTGGGTGGGGTGAGGGGAGCACGTGGGACATGCCACGTGCAGTAGGCCTACCTTTCGTGCGCAGGCCCGGACTGCACCAGGTGTGTGAGGTGTTGGCCAGGCTAATGAGTTCATTCTCTTTCCAGGTGGTTTCATCAGTTTCAATGGCTCCTGGAGGGTCCAGGGAATCCTGGCCATGTCTCGATCCCTGGGGGATTATCCACTGAAAAATCTGAACGTGGTCATCCCAGACCCAGATATCCTGACCTTTGACCTGGACAAGCTCCAGCCCGAGTTCATGATCTTGGCATCCGATGGCCTCTGGGATGCTTTCAGCAATGAAGAAGCTGTTCGATTCATCAAGGAGCGCTTGGATGAACCTCACTTTGGGGCCAAGAGCATAGTTTTACAGTCATTTTACAGAGGCTGCCCCGACAATATAACGGTCATGGTGGTGAAGTTCAGGAATAGCAGCAAAACAGAAGAGCAGTGAACCCTTCGGGGTCGCCACTGCCTTAGACTAAAGGACTTTCAACACACTCGTCTCTTTTAATGTAGTGAAAGAAGTGGAGGTTACGGTTAGGATCATCATCCCAGACGTGGGATTCCCCCTCCCTGGCCATCGTAGGTCTCTACTCGGTGATGACGAACAGAGGTGCTCTTGGCCCACGTAGTTGAGAGGCTGGAAGAGGTTTCTTCATGTTCCCCAATTCTTTCATCCAATGTCCAAAATATATAAATACATAGCTGTAGACTCACATGTATGAAGTGAATGGCATATGTGCGATATAGTCTCCCTCGTAAGATTCTTTTCAAGACCCCTCCCAGGGCCTCCCAGGCCTCAGACTGTGTGTCCTCTCTTTGGAGCAGTGAGCAGGGCAGGCCTCCCAGAGCTGCAGGAGACGGGCCACCATGTCGCCTGTGAGCCAGGGTGGCAGGGCCCTTTGCTGAAGGCCGAGCTGCCCCGAGGATGCCTTGTCCTCCGGAGCCCAGGTTTTCAGCTCGGCTCTGCCCAGAAGTGGATTTGGAAGGGTCTGCTACTCCACAGCTGCTCAAGGAGACTGAGGGGAGTGGGAGGTAGAGGCGGCCTGCACGGCAGAAATGCCCTTTCTTCCCTCACTCCCTTCATTAGTTAAATAGACTTTGTGCACCACCTGACCAGTCTTTGTGCGTTTATCCTAATTGTGCATGACCTTAACCTTTTGCTTACATCTTTAAGTAATAGGCAGCTGTTAAACTTCACAACCAGACACCGTGATTTTTTTTGTCTTACATTGCCAAGAAACCTATTAAGGGAAGTCAAAAAATCAAATCATAATATCATAATTCCTTCCATCTTTAAGGATAGACAGAGGAAAATAATGGCTAAGTCACCGTCTCCCTTGAGAAGTCTGTTGTTTGCCTTGAGAGAGGAAGCTGGTGAGGTTACCACCCTGAACTGCACTCCAGCTGCCAGTTTTTATGCTTTTTGTCCCTCCCCACTCCCCACTACCCTGTGCTCCTATTCTAGTAGCTTTCAAGTGAGTGTTCCAAGAAGCAGCAGCCTAGAACTGCAGGTGTGTTCCTTGAAGCTCAGTACGGAGTTCCCAGCCACGCTCTGGAATTTGGTGGTGACCTGCTGGTACGTGCTTCTCTGTGATGGTGGAAAGCAGCAGCCCTGAATGTCTGGCTGCAAACCCCTGTCCCAGCAGGTGGCTTTCCCCAGGAAAACCATCCGGTGACAACAAAGCTGTTTGGGAATCCCAGCTCAGACTTGTACTGTTAATCTGCCCAGAGTTATTTTGGGGCCAGGTTTGCTGCTTTGAGCTTCCTATTACCAAAGTCACATTTCTAATCTCAGTATTTTATAAGTCAGTCGACAGAAAATGCTCAGTCATCCTGTTTGCCTGACCTCGGTGACTCAAACAGCCAGACAGGATTTTTGTTGCGTTCCTGCACCCCAGTGTCTGAAGTGCCAGGGGATCCACCTGGTTCTGTTCTTTCGAGTCTGCGCTTGTCTTTCCAGCTCCTCGAAGGCCCCGTTCACTGGCACCTCCTGCCCTTGGTGCCCTCCCCTGCCTTCCTCCAGCGGTGGAGCTTTTCTGAAGCAGATTCCAGAGAACCTGGGGGGTTGGAAAGGTTCCCTTCTGGTGACCGAGGGCTGCCATCTCCCTTGAGTCCTCCAAGCACTTGCCTTTCTTTGACTAGGAGAATTAGTAATGTTTTCCCAGAGATTTGCTTACTTTTGTAAACTGTAACATTAGAATTATAACCTTGAATTTTTTTTTAGCTATAGAATGTTCTAGTACAAAATATCTACCACCATTTAGAGGGAGGGATTTGCCTATTAAGACACAAAAAACAACTGGATGTGTGTGTTTGGGCCGGGAGTCAGAGGAGGTGTGGGAGACGGGCTGACCGTCATCAGTGACTGGACGGTCAGGCAGGTGGCTGGACGGTCAGGCCAGGTGGCGGGGTTTGCCTGGAGATGCAGGGCGTTCTGACTCTGGAGAGTGACCGAAGCCCCACTGTCTAACTCGAGTTCAGGAATAAGCAATTTCTTCCTTTTTACAGCGACTGTCAATTTCCCTTTTTTATTTTTAACTTAACCCCCAAATTCATAGTTACACGAAAAAGACATGTTTAAATGCCGTGGTCTTTGTGATTGTCTAAGGTGAAAGCAGTGTTGTTGGGTGAAGATGAGACAGGAAGGCTGCTGAGTCGGCAAACCAGGGTGCATGGGCCCTGCCGAGTGTCTCGGCAGCTGGTGCCGAGGGCCGCAGGGCATGACCTCCCCTCTCACTGAGGTTCCCAGGGTGTTTTCCGAATTTTGCTTTGTAGGATGAATTCACTTCTGACCTGAACCAAGTAGTATGTGTATTTCCTGTTCCCTTTCTGCCATTGTCCTCTCCTTTTGGCTTGTAGGTTTTTAAAAGATAGAAGTTCCAGGCGAAATAGCAGCAGTTCAATTAATACCTGTTTTTACTGCCAGAGTATTTTGCTTCCTCCCCTGTCTCAGAGCTCTCTCCCCCAGACCCTCCTCCAGCTGTTGGGGGTCTGCAGACATCACCCTCGGGTGCCCTGTGGCTCACAGCTGCTCCCATTTTCTAGGGACAGGGAAGGGGGCATCTAGCTATTAGGGAAGTTGATTTGAGAAGTTTGCATGTGAAGCTTCCCTAAATAGCACTGCCAAAGCCCTGGATGCCCCCTGGGGCTGCCCAGACTTCTGTAGCCCGAGTTCACCTTGCCAATAGCCCCCATGGTGCCAAATTAGGGATGATTTTATAGTCTTTTAGAAATGAAGCTGGGAATGAATGACCACATGTTTATGAGCCCCCAGCAGGATGCCAGGCCCAGGGTCTCAGTGTGCTCTGCCCTGCCACACCGCTCCACTGGTCCAGTCCTTAATGTGGGTTGCGATTTGGGTGATGGTGGGGAGGGTGAAGACAGGGAAATTTTTTTTTAATTCATCATATTTCCAATTCTCTAATCAAAGGAGTAAACAATACTTATACAGAAAACTCTAAAGCTAGTTCCCAGGACCTGCACTGATTTTATGGGGCCAATTAGTCCAAGGCACTTAACTCTGAAGTCGCTGCTCTAACACATGTATGTACACATTGCTGGTTACAAGTGGCCACATGCTCTTCCTGCATTAGATCGAAGGTGCTGGCCTCTTGAATCTTGTCTAGAATCTCTTGTAATGAGAGTATCACAGAGAGCGTTTTATAGCGTGAAGGAGCACATGCAATCTGGATCATTTAAAGCAGGCCTTACTTCATACACCTGGAATGACGTCATCTCACGTACTTTTTGTGCAAGCAGGATTGCATGAGAGTGGGGACATCATTGTTTTAATCCTACCTAAAGTAATTTTAGGAAATTGGTTACACTGTTGAATTGGATCACTGGATATCTGGCAATACATGAAGGATTCACAAAGGCAGTGGTCACTTTTTTCTTTGCCAGGTAGATACCTTGATTTTCTTCCCGAGTTGTTGCCAGATCAAACCTTTTTGCAACTGTGTCAATGCAAAAGGTTTAGAAAGGGCAACATTTCATTGTACACTTGAAAATATAGCAATACATACTCTGGATGAGACATTATTTTCCAATGATTTTGGAAATTTTTTCCTCCTTTTAACCCATCATTAGACTGATCTTCCCTTAATATCCCCCCCAAATCACCTTAGCTCATCACACCAGCATTCCTGACCCAGAAATGACATGACTGTTAGATACACAATGGGGCCCATTTACTACCCGGGGTGAAACCACTGACATCTAGACCTTGGAGCTAGTCAGCTGCACACTGCAGGAGAAGTGGGATCCCGGCGTTTCCCAAAGTGAGTTCCACAGAACACACATTCCAAGGACACTCTTCTAAGTATAGGGTTTCAGGATCAGAGGGGTTTGGAAAACACGCTGTCTTAGAAAGTTAGTACATATATATGCCCATCGAAGCTTCTAATGTAAATAGTGGGTCGGGGGGCACACCACAGATGTAATTTTAGTTAGCTTGGTGGTTTCTGGAGTCATTTGACCACAGAAACTTTTTTTAAGTAATGCTTAATAACATCCCAAAGAGTTCATGTTCCATAGGACCCACTCTGAGAAATTTTGATACATAGACATATTACTGTTTTCTCATTCACTATGACTCTTTGTAATTGCAATATAATTTGCAATTTGGAGGCACTAATCCTGTCGAGTAAGAGCCTGATCTGTTCAGGGAAGAGGCATTAAGAAAGAGTATCGTGTAATGTGGTTAGCAGCAGCCTCACCTGGGTAGCAGGCGCCCAGCTGTCCTACCTGAAGCTCTAACCACCATCTCCCTTCTTTGGTGTGGGTGGTAAGCAGGAGCCTTGCCAACCTGGGGATTCCTCAGATTCGTTCCAAGAGCTTTCCGTTGTTGCTGTTTTAACTTCTCTTTGCCATCCAGACCGAATCACAGTAAATATTTTTACATTACATCACATCACTATGTGGGAGTAAAAAATACCAAAAATAATAGAAAATGAGGAAAAAGTTATAAACTATTAACATTTATTTACTCTTTCCTCTGTCCTTCAGTCCAGGTTCAATGAAATAATTTTAAATCCACCAAAGCTCATTTGTTCTAAAACCCCGGCCCTGTGCTGTCCCACCGTTCGCATGTTATGTATACAACTAAGTTTGTCAGGTTACCTCCTGCCTAAAAGGTCAGGCTTATTGTCACTCTCAACTTGGACAATGGGTTTGAGAAACTCTGAAGGATAATCTCAAAATAACAGAAGAGATCAATCTAGTTGAAAACGTGATACAAAGGGAATTTAGGGTGAAGTCATTAATTAAAATCACATCTAATATTTAGGAATACAACCGCCCTCTAGATGTCCAAATTCTCTTTCCTAGTGTTAAGCTGAAACCTGTTTAACCAAGAGTTGATTACAATAATATTTATGTGTTTAGTAATAACCACATCATCATATGTACAATCACTTGAACAAGCCCAAGTTAAGGACTCTGAAGAGAACATGTAGTCACTGTTCATTTAATAAATCATCATAGGCATTGTCACAATTTAAAGCCCCACCAAAAAGCAGCAAGCAGCAAAGGTATAGATTATGTTTACAGGTGTGGTTCCATTTATTCTAGAAGCTCTAAATATACTCTGGCCTCTGACATTTGCCAAATCCAAATTAATGTCAAAAACCTCCAGAACCCAGAGTCCCGAGCTCTGAGCAAAGCAGCTTACTGTACAGGCTTGGTGGCAGATTGCAGTGGGGGCCAGTTGGGGAGCAGGACAATCCTCTCGGGCGACCAGCTGCCTCTGTAGGAGAGGGACTGTGTACCCGTCACCTTTCATCATGAGGAAATCCACAGGCTAAATGTGATGTCATGCACCGTTGTCTCAGCAGACTTATAGATTAGTAAGATAATGCATAGTTTAAAATGAGTTGATGCAAAAGCAAAGATATTGGGAAAAAAAACCTTTAGAATATCCAGATATTAAAAACGTGAGAAGTGGATTATTTAAAATGTGGATTATCAGAGTTTTACTATTCACAGGTTATATTTAATAGTGATTTTTGACATCAGCACATAGATTAGTAGAAGGCAGTTGTTCCCATTGGCACCTATTCAAATGCAAGTCTTCCCATTTACCGCGTTGGCCACTGCTTTGCTGGCATGTTAATGAAGACAGAATCTCATGCTCCTTCTGATCAGACTGATGGCACAGGCAGACTCACATTTAAGGAAAATAGTTTGGAACATTTTTAATCAAAACAATTCAAAACTAATGCCCAGGTGACCAAAGTCAGAATGTAAAGGAAACACTTTTAAGAAAATGTAAAAGACAAAATCAAAGGAGAATAATATATAAAAGGAAATATTTTAAATTAAGGAGACATGGTATTTTATGTCATGAATCATGATTTCTGATATTAAAGAGTTAACACGAAAGTAAGAAAATTAACATTGAGTTATTTGTAAAGCTAGTAAAATTACAGTCCCTATTTTATGCATTCCCAATGAAAACAGATATATGTGGTCTCATTCATTGCCCTCCTAAAGTAGCTTTACTGTCCTAGATTCTGTTCACTTTCCAAATCCTAGACATAGTTTTACCCTGAATCCATAGGACTGATGCATTTTTTAGGAGGAAATACACTTTTTTAGAATTTTAAAAAAGAATACAGTAGACTACGTGACACCTTCCATTTTGTAGAGAGTGCCCAGATAAAACTGAGGTCAGATCAACATAGTCACAGCTACAGCTGAAAGTGAGCTTTAACATACTGGTAATTTCCCATGTGCCAACATGACTACCAGTGAGTATTCAATTTAAAACAGAAATTTCGCTAAAACAAACTGCCAAGTGATTTAATGTTCTTACTTCTCAGAGATATTTCTAATCCACATACTGCCAATGGTCATGTTTGCTCATATAATTTTTTAAAACCCTGTAGAAATGATATATTAGATATCTCTAACCCAAGAGAATGATATCTTGTGCACATTTTAAATTACCATCTGCCTTAGTATATGTAAGGACAAACAACTTAGTTGAATAATGAAAAGGTATAAAATCCTGCCAAGGTGGCGGGGGGGGGGGCGGGCATCTAGAACCGTGGAACCTACAGCAAGAATATCCCTATTTACGCCCTGGCTAGTGTGGCTTAGTGGACTGAGTACTGTCCTGCAAATCAAAAGGTCGCCAGTTTGATTCCCAGTCAGGGCACATACCTGGGTTGCGGGCGGGGTCCCCAGGTGGGGACAAGTGAGAGGCAACCAAGCAATCGATCTATCTCTCACACATCAATGTTTCTTTTCCTCTCTTTCTCTCTCCCTTCTCTCTAGAATAAAATCTTTAACCAATATATCCCTATTTAGTTTCCACAACCACAGTCAGTTTTTATGTGATTTATCTGGATTGCCCTTTTACCTCAGGCATATATTCAGAAAATGGAATCATAAATACAAAGATAGAAAAAAAAAACAAGTTTCTCTTTTAGAAAGCATTGTTTGCCCCTTTAAATTTAGCTGAAGTACATGTTCACATCGAAATATTAACATCTACAACACTGTCTTCAGTTTGCTGTTCAATTACTAGAACAAATGGTTTTGATTTATAGCACTTAACACAGATTCAGTTCAGATTACAGAGTTGAAATCTGTTTTGCAATGCCCCAACATTCCCATGGTCAGCCAGAAAAGAAAACAAAAACAAAAGAAGAAATTCTAGTGGGTTCAGAAGAATGGTTATTTCGATAAGCCTGGAAAATAGTAGTGAAACAGTTAACTATTCCAAAACACTGCAATGTGAACTGTGTTCGCATACATAATTCCTACATGCCAAATGTGCAAGGTGTATTTCTTTTAACATAAGCACCATTGCATGTATAACAGATTGATCTACCTTACGAACAAATTGAATTGGGAAAGACACTATTTTTGCTGTAAGTGAATCTGCTTGTATATGTTATTCTTCCCTTTATTAATGTCTTTTTGCTGAGCCCTTCTCTGTGGCAAGCAGAGACAGTCTAAGGGAGGCACCTAGTGTGAACACTCGGGCACCATCCCTGCCTTCTTGGCACTTGGAACGGAGGCTTCATAGATCCTTTGATGCTCAGTACCAGCCAAACGGGGTGAAAACTGGCATCTTTCATGATTTCCTCCCCTGGACTTAGAGTTGTGAGGACAGGCAGAATCAGAGTAGTTCTTTCCTACCCATAATGGTGAACGGTAAAAAGACTATCTTGCCCACATCTGAGCAAATTACATCAGACAACTACTCCGTCTTTAGTCCCCTAAGTTTTCCAAGGATGGTATAGGGAGGTGAGAAAAAAGGTGGGGCCAGGGCAGGGGCAGAGGCGTCCCAGGGAGACGTCCCCCAAGGGGGGCAGCAGCAGTGCCAGAGCTCAGCAGGACAGGGCCAAGGCCGGGTGGGTCTCCCTCCAGGATTCTTCTGGACGAAGGAGAGGTACAGAAAGGAGAATGGGGGACAAGGAGAACTTCTCTCCATGGCCCATGTTTGTGTTCCCATGAGGCTATTAGTGAAACATGCTTGTGCTCCAAAAGAGAAGCTAGAACTGAGTGTGTTGATCACCAATGTATATGAACTAGTGAATTTGCTATGTAGAAAGTAAACATTTCAGGAATACAATTATTTCTTGATTTCGAATAGGAACAGAAGAAGACTAAATGCCAGATTTTTAAAAAATCATAAATTTGGTACCCATCATTACTTTAGACATTCCAGCACCTAGACATGGAATCTGAATTTGATATTTTGAACAAGAAGAGCAGCATCTATTTTCTGTGTGGCAAAGCAGACCTGCACGCCAGACTTTTTAACCACAGAAGTCATCACTGCTGTCTAAGTCCTTTGCCTGGCCATGCTCCCTAGACCTCTCTGTTCATGCCAGTTGTTTCTTTATCCAAGAAATACTTGCTGTTGCCAAATTACGTTAGAATCCTATTGAATTAGAAGAATAGAAAGTGAATGAGAAGAAAATTTGGACTATCTCGTTGTGATCAGAAGTGGGGTTTTTTTTGTTCAGTTTTTAAGCATGAAAATGTATAAAAGGACACTCAAATTAAGTCAGGCTGATTTCTGATTTGGTACGATTAAAACCATAGGTGAAGGCCAATTATTAAGCATGGAAAGGAGAAAAAGGAGGGTTGGAGAGGGTAAGAGAAAAAAACAACCCCACAGAGTTGAATAGCATTTTTCATGAATGGTATGTAGCAAAAGTTCTCATCCCTTTCTCTGCTGCATTTTGAAACGGTTACTTTATACAAGCTCTTACTGTACCTGTTCAACACCAGGAAAGCTATCCCATCAGCATTTTCTTGCTATTTTAAAAACCATAAGAGGTTGTTTGTTTATAAAAAGATACCAGCATCCATAATTTATTAGACAACGCTTTCTTTTAGGAATCTTCAAATCATATTGAATAATTAAATCCCTGGTAAATGAGTGCTCTAAACAGTCGGGCTTTCTGGTAAGTTAGTCTCTGAAACCTATCCGTAATAGACACAACAGGACCTTGGGAAAACTTCATTACTCGTGGTACTCTTCAGAGGTTTTTATACCTACTCTTCTATATTTGTCTCTAAGAGACATTTGAAACAAAGGGAAACTGTCCGTGTGGTGTACAGCTCAGCGTGCGCAGCAGTGCGCGGCCACTCGATGCATGGCAGTCGTTCAGGTCCTTGTGGTGTGCTGGGGAAGACTGAGCTTTGTAGAGACAATGTGTTCATGCAGTCACTGATCCTGTGTCGTTGTATACAAACTGAACAGCTAAAAATTCACCCTTGATGACAAGATTAAAGCAAAAATAAACACATTAAGGTTATTGGACTTTATATGTGGAACTTCTGAGGGTTTTTTCTGTTCCTATCTTCTTTCTTTGGTTAAATTCATTTTTCCATTCTAATGTCTGCTCTTGAATTTTATAATTTCTTAATGCTTTTGAGTTAGAGCGTAGCTGCCGATTTTGGAATCACAGAAAGCAAAGAAACAGTTCATGGGCAGAGGATAAGACTGAAGCATAACAGAAGCAGGAGAGATAGGAGGTGTCGAGACTGGGCATTTTCATTTGGAACAGGAATAAGCCTGGCCCTGGTTCAAAACAAGGGACTTAAAAAATGTATACAAATATATGCAACAAAAGTCGTTTATCGTTAACACATCTACCCAACTTTACATCTCACCAACCAAGTTCACATCATATAACCAGTATGAGGCGATCGGGGTTAGATGCGCTCTACGTACACGTAAACTCCAGCAGCAGGGCATGTCACCCCTGTGGGAGAAAGGTTCAGAGGAGCACACCCCTCTGCGAGGGGGTTCACAGGACACAGGAAGGAACACTGGAGAACTCTAGGACAGTGAAATATATGTATATATGGCACCCAGATGAAAACAATAAAAGTTAATCACCAGACTGCTGAATTTGGAACTGGCTGTAACAAAGCTGAAAAATGTGGCTTGCATTATTTTTCTCCTTTTCATTAAAAATAATATTTGGTAGCCAGAGTAGAAAACGAAGCCCATGAATTCTGGTCTTCCACTCCTTTTTCTGGGTAGAAAAGGTCTAAAACAGAAATGAGGGATATGATTGGAAGCTTCAGGATGGATGTTTGTTATCTGGGCTTCTGGAAGAATTATTCTTTCCCAATACCATCCACAGATGCAAAGAAAAAGAAATCAGGTTACAAATGCCCTACTTTCGCTTCTTCTTTCCCTCCCTCCCTCCTTCTGTTTTATTTTAGAAACACAGTAGTGATAATCCACTTGGTTTTCTGAGGTCACAACAGCAGACTGTGGTAGCTTCCCAGAAAAGGACTTTCATATCAGCATCTTAGTGGCACCTCATGGATCCAAGGGCGGTGAGTATTTAAGTGGTGCCTCATTAACTGTTCACACCAAAGATGCAAACCTCTCAGGGAGTCTACAAGCCTCCTCCTAGCTTTCACTGATCCACTGGTGTTGAAAGAGGCCATCATCTACTGTAAATGACCATAAAACTGGATGAACTACAATGTATTGGCCACTGTTTTCAGGCTTCAGACAACAAGCAGTGCAAGATAGCAAACCTTGAGAGTCGGATCCCAAGTTGTTCCATTGTCGCCTGTGCTCCCCGTGAGCGGACCGTTTTCTGGCTGCAGCACAGCCAGTGGGAGTGCTGTCCGAGCTGGGCTGCTCTGAAGGTACGGGAATCAGAGTTTGGGGCTAGTGATGTGGCTCAAAGCTGTAGAAGGCTGTGCAGAGGGGGAGCTTCAGAAGTCAGTGCACAGACCCCTCACGCATCCTTAACTGAATGAAGGCTTTACTGCATGTGCTCAGGGTGAAACTCCGAGGCTTGACAGAAGGTAGCTGCTATGGAATTGAGAGTGGAATAGAAATACTAGAGAGGGAGCATTGCTGGGGAATATCAAGTTCTGGCCCAAGCAGAGAGGAAAGACCTCATTAACACAGTGTTAACAACCTAGACACCCAGTGGAGGCACTCAAGCTGTGCCTTAAGAGTAAGGACCATTGCCTAAATTAAGGCACACTTCAGACTCAGCCTAATTGAGTCTAAATCAAGTGCTGACAAGATCCACAAGGGAGGCAGAGTTGGAAAGTTGAGTTCACACAGAGTGGAGGGGCTTGGAAACACCCTAGACATTCACAGATCCGCTGAAATAAACCCTAACATCCCCCCAGCCTCCCCATAACCCTCCAAAAAACAAGGTCAAGATGATCAGCTAATAACCAACTACTAACTAGAATAAAAATCAAAAATAAAAACTCTTCAGAGGAAGAAAAATCTAGAGTCTTCACATATTTATAACATACCGCATTGTCCAGTACAATAAAATTAAGAAATTGCCAGACATGCAATGAAATGGGAAAGCACACCCAACAGTCAAGAAAAAACCAGCAGTCAATAGTAACCAGCTCTTAGAGGTGCAGATATTGGTCTCAGTAGACTCACAGCAGTTATAACAAATAGGTTTAAGGAATTAAAGGCAACTATAGGCTTATGAGGAAAGAGAAATGGAAAATTAAAAGTTCAGAAAAGTAAATAACTATACTGAAAAATTCACTGGATTGGCTTAGCAGAATGTGGAGATGGCAAAAGAAGGAGTCAGTGTACTTGATGAAAACAAATTACCCAGTCTGAAGAAAAGGTAAGAAAAAGAGTGAAGAAAAATTAATGGAACATCAGGGACATGTAGGACACTATGAAACAGTGTAAGATACACATCATTCAAACATATAAGATACACATTACTCAAATGCCAGAAAGAGACAAAAAGAAGAATGGGTCAGAAAACTGTTTGAAAAATAATGGCCATAAATTTCTCAAATTTTATGAAAACATCAACATATAGAATCAACAACAATGAACCACAAGGAAGCTAAATAAAAAGAAAATACAACACACTCCACAAAGAATTATCTGACCCAAAAGGTCAATAGTGCCAAGGCTGAGAAGCCCCACTCTAAAGAAATCAATTTAAAAAATTATTTAAAGAGAGAGAGAATTAAGAAGGCAACTGAGAAAATTAAATGGAATACTAATCATTAGTCAGCTCAAGAGAAGGTAGCAAAGTGCAACAAATGTGCAAAATGAACAAAGTAACAGGATGATATACTTAAACCCAACCGTATCAATAATCATATTAACTATTAAGGAACTGAACACTCTCTAACAGGGAAAGTCTTTTTTTAAATGTTGCTAAGACAACTGGATATTTGTATGGAAAATAAAAAAAAGCATGTCAAACCCTCTCTGGTTCTGAATAAAAATTTAAGTTTGAGATGGATCATAGCCCTAAATGTAAAACCTAAAACCATAAAGTTTTTGAAGCAAACATAGGAGAAAATCTCTTTGGCTTTGGTGTAGAGAAAGACTTCTTGGGCAGGACACAGAAAAGTATGAACCATAAAAGAAAAAAATGCATAGGAAAGTACAATGGTACAAACTCTTTCAAGAACTCTGGGGTTTTGTAGTGAAGTTAAATACACATCTACCCCATGGCCCAGCAATTTCACTCCTAGATGCACACACAAGAGAAATGAAAACATAAAGATATGAAAGAACTCGAACAAGAATCTTCTTAGTAGTATTATCTATAATAGCCCCAAAGTGGAAACAACCCAAAGGGATAAAGAAATTGTTGTTTAATCATACAATGGAATAACACTCCCTGAGAAAAAGAATAAACCCCTGACACACAAAACAACACGGATTAATCTCATACACATCACGTTAGGTCACAGCAGCAAGATGCAACATAACATACTACATCAATACCCTTAGTCCAAACAGGCAGCACTAAGTCCACAGTGCTAGCTGTCAGGAAGTGGTTGCTCCGCAGTGCGGGTGGGGTGGGGGCCAGCGGGGGGGCGGAGGGGCGGAGCCACTGGAAAGCAGCGTTGGGAGCCATTCTGAGATGATGGAAATGTTCTACACCTTGTTGTAGGTGGCGGTGACACAGATGCATAAAGCTGCCCGAGCTCATGGAACTGAACACTTAAGTTCTGTGTGTGTTAGTGTATAAAAAACAAAAAAGCATTGACGATTGCATCAAAAGTATAACATATTTAGGAATAGATCTAATGAAACATAGGCAAGACTGCTATAATGAAAACTTTGGAATACTGCTGACAGAAATTTAGAAAGTCTAAGTAAATGGAGAAGCAGATGATGTTCATAAATCGGAAGACTTAATATCATTACAATAGCCTTTCCCCCAAGGTTTTAGATTTAATAAAATCCAAATCAAAAGCATGGAACTCTTTTATAGAAATTGACAAGCTAATTACAAATTTTCATGGAAATTCAAAGGACACGTAAAAGCCAAAGCAGTATTACAAGAGGAACAAAGTTGGGGAACTTATATTACCTGATTTCAAGACTTTTTATGATAGATACCAGTACATACTTAGTATAAAGGTTATTCTGAACTGCAAATGAAGCCTCGGCTCCTCCCAACCCCCCGTCTCTGCCTCCGCCTCGAACACCAGGCTTCTGCATTCTGCCGGTGGTTTCTTGTGGGGTCAGCCTGGTATTGGGGATCTCTGCATTGCAGACACAGCACCTGACCAAATAAAAGGAGCCTTCCCCGTTTGTCTTTGTTTTATTAGGGGGCACCCCCTTCTCTCGCAGGAGCCCTTCAGGAGACCTCCCTTGGGGTCCCGCCGGCTGGGATAGGTTAACCAGCCCTGGCCTCCTTGGTGGGCCGGCTGCCTCTCCTGCGTGAGGGGGAGGGGGTGCAGGCTGGGTGGGTGGCTCCGCCGCAAGCTCAGTGTTCGGCCCATCCTCCCCCACCAGCCTTTCCTCGTGACACGTTCTGATACTGCTTTTAAGTTTGTTAATATAATTGTTAAAACATGTATGGTTAACAGTAATTTATCCTCATTGTTGAGAATGAAATCATAAAAGGTGCTTTAAACGTAGGAAAAAGTGGCTGAGAGGCAATTCCTGTTAACATTCTGGTATGTTTTCATCCTGCGTGTTTCCGTCCAGTTTCTACATATGTAGCCAGAAGGGGGAGGAGTGGCATTTCAACCCGTCACTGCAGCTGCTGCAGCCTTTTAAGAAAATGGCATAATTTATCTTGTGGGGAATCGATATTTTAAATCTCGGAAAGGCCTTGAATGGACTCTTTAAGGGAAAAATACAAGTAGTGCCTCACCTGTGCCCTGCCTCCCACAGGATCTGAAAGGCGAGAGTAAAACATAAGCAGGGCTAAATGCAAAGACATTTTAGAAATTAATCCTTGATAACCTGAAACGAGAGGAAGGGCTTGGAAACATGAAGAGTGGGCCAGAGGTGAGGAGAGAAGACTTGGCCGATGGGTGGACGGAGGGTGTCTTGGACCTTCCAGGCTGCTGTAACAACCTGTCGCGGTGGGTAGCTTATAAACAATGGGAGTTTATTTGCCACAGTTCGGGAGGCTGAAGTCTGCGCTCAGGGTGCCAGCAGGGTCAGTTTCTGGCACCGGCCCTCCTCTGGGTCGCAGACTGCAGATTTGATGCATCTTCATGTGGTGGAAAAGGAGAGACCAGCCCTCCAACATGTTCTAATGAAGACACTCCTATTCATTAAGGCCCCTCCTGACCTAATTACCTCCCAAAGGCCCCACCTGCCAAGTCATCACACTGGACATTAAATTTCAACATATAAGTTTTGGAGGGACACATTCAGTCCATAACGGAGGGCCACAGTGGATGGGAAATTTGCCTGATGAGAAACATCTTAACTATCTATGTGTAACAAACCACCCCAAAACTTGGAATAGCTTCAAGCAAAATGCAGAATTTCTAATAGTCCTGTGAATTGTTGGCAATCCACCGGGAGGCTCTCACCTGGGGGCTGTTGCAGTTGGGACTGGAGTTGTCTGAAGGCTCCACTCCCAAATGAGCTCTTCACTCACGTGCCTGGTGCCTCACAGGGCTTGACAGGAGCAAGGGGAGCTGGCTGGGCATCTCTCCTTCCTCACAGCCTTGCCATGTGGCCAGCAGGGCCTCCTTCCCCAGGTAGCGGGCTCAGTATTGGCTGTCACAGAAGCATGCTTCCTGAAAGGCCTGGGTGGAAGCTGCAGGGCTTTTCTTGAAAGACATTGCACTGGGGACTTTTGTATCCTCATGGGGATTTGCAGTCTTTTGTTTGGATCTTGATGGGAAAGGGAAGCTTGAGAATTTGGAGGGCAACACAGTTCAGAGCACGCACACACACACACACACACACTTGCATCTCAAACTTTTTATTTACAGTAAGTTCATTCCTGGCTGGTGTGACTCAGTGGATTGAGCGCCAGCCTGGGAACCAAAGGGTCACTGGTTTGATTCCCAGTCAGGGCACATGCCTGGGTTACAGGCTAGGTCCCCAGTAGGGGGTGCATGAGCGGTGATTCCTAACATCCCTCTCAGCTCTAAAGTTTCACTACCCCAGGCTGTGCTGACCGCACCCAGGACTCAGAGATCTGTGCCTGTCTCTATCACTTACCTTAAATATAGGGTGATGGTGTCCATCCTTGTTGCACTTTGTCCTCACAAGACTCATGAAATGGCCCTTCTCTTGGGCACAAATGTCAAAGGACTGCCCACTCAAGCTGCCCCTGGGCCTTCAGGCTTGCTTCCAGAGCTTCCTTCTGCCTCAGACCAACACCCCACATCAGCACACGCCACTGTTCTGATAGACTCTTTGAAGGTCTGCTCCCACGTTACCTACACGTGGGATAGCCACGGAGTTGTTGGAGAGTGCGAAGGGTTCCCCGTGAGTTGGTCTTCGGCTCACACAAAATCCAGGAGTTGGCTTAACATAAAGATTCTCAGTGGATTAGAGGATAGAAGAACAGCATGGGCCTGCGACACTTCTCACATTTCCTGTTTCCCCGCCTAAGCTGGCCCTTTCCAATTCCTCTCTCTCTCTCCCTCCCTCCCTCCATCCTGCAATAACTCTCCGACCCCAAGAGAAGAGGACTTTATCTCCAACCTCATGCTCAGGAAGTATAGTTGTTACAATAGCCCCGCCCTGGCTGCTCTGCATCTGCAAAGTTGATGGGAACACCTCCATGCCAAGACCACACTGGGTAGACCCGGGGAAATATTAACAAGGGTGTGTAGTCCTCAGTCAAGGGCCCAAAGCCCCAGCTGCAAGTGGTCCAGAACCTCTGATCTGCATGAGCCAGCCTCAGAAATGCAGACCCCTGAGCCCTTTCCCAAATGAGGTGCGGCTGATTATGCCGATGTACCATGTAGTCAGCCTCCATCCTGTGGAACAATACATTCTGGCCTGCCATAACATGACTCACACTGTTTCCTGCGACAGGAACACTCCCCTTGTGGACATATCCACCGTTGATCCCGCCAGCTGTTTTCCCCCCTCTCTGTTGGAACAGCATGTTGCAGACAACGGCTGCTGCCCTTCAGCCCGGACCCTGACAGGGGAGATGCACACAGCAGACGCCCACCCAACACTGGCAGCCCGAGGCGGGCAATGTGGACGGAGAGAAAACATGGCTGCTGGCAACCTCTGAGATTTGGGGGTTGTCCTTGAGGTATAATCTGGCAAGGGCTGATGCGTGAGGGGTTACAAAATCAAAGCTTATGGGGATCTAAGTGAAGGAGGGAAGCAGCGAGAATGTGTAAGGCGTGGGACTGGCAGGGCTGCGGCAGATTCGAGAGAAACAGCCTAAGGCTAGGCTCCAGTGCTGAACTTTGTTATGGGTTAAAATTTAAAAAATGCTATTTATGTGGTTAAACATCAGAGGCCAAGATCTTAATAACACAGCTGATTAATATTTTCTACCTGACAGCTTAACTACAAAGAAGCATCTAGTTAAAAACAAAAAATATAATGGCCCAACCTCTCAATGGTTTTCATAATCATTTCACTTTTTAGAGCTCTTTTAGGCACCAATCTCTAGTTGAGAAGGAACAATTTCTGAACTTTGACAATCATTCACATTTTATTTCTGGGTTTTTTTAATCTTATCTTAAAATGAAGAGAAATTAGTTTTTATTTTAAAAGTTCTCTTTCAAAAACTTCTGTTGGCTTCCCAAACATCAATATGAACTTTTACAAAATTGGCCAAATCTAATCATAACACAAAAACCACCATTTGTCTTAAAGAAAGTAACTCCTATATGAATAGGGATTGACAGGGGATTAGATGAATTCTATAGAATATTTCATTTAATTGATTTTATTTTAACTGGGTCAGGCCTGAGACTAGGAAATGGAAATAGCTTTTTTAGAGAATCACACATTATAACAGTTCTAGTTGCAAATATCTCTTATGGAAGAGTTTCAAATATCTGTGTCTTAGAGCTGACTACATACTTTCAAGTTTCTATTTTCTCCCAAAGGATATGATTGTTTGCCATCATGTAATCCAAAAAAAAAAAAAAGGAATCAGTGGGCCTATCAGTCATAATAGGAAACTGCACAATCCCAAAAATATGGGGCAAGGAGTGCTCCTCTTTGACCTGTGAGTAGTAGATCCAACAAGAAGATACATCCCACGGAAAAATAAATGTGCTCCTACACAACAGGAAAATCAGATGTTTTCAGACCACACGAGGGCTTTCCTCTTGAGGTGAAACTAGTAACAATGGAGCAGCATTGGTTTTTTTTTTCCTTTCTTTATTCTCAAACTGACTGTTAGAGAAAACACGTGAAGCAGATTAGTGACGAACTCAAACCTCCAGTCTCCCCTTCCCAGCCTCAGCACTGGAATGCAGCTCTCTCTCCATTACCTTCGGCCGTGTGTGCCTGGAGTCCTTCCCAAAAGGAAACACGCTGCCTGGCGTTCTGTATTGTTGCTAATTCCCAGGCGGAACAGGAGACTGATGAAGTGACATTAAAAAACATTGGGGATTATATTTTTAAAAACAGGACAATAATTCAGATCTTCCTTTAATTCTTCTCTATATTACCACGGTAAAATGTCTATCGAAGTCAAAGAGCTTACTGATACACAATAATGACCTTACATTAATGAAGCCATGAAAAACTCGTTAGTGAAGTAAGGGAGAAAGAGTCCAAATGCAAAGGTGGTTCACTATTGTGTTCATACAGCATTGAAACAACCGTAACACTTAAACAGCCAGAAAGTTCTAAGAATATTAAATAATAATTGTTAACTCTGAAATACTGCCACATGTTGAAATACTTCCTGAATGACCAAAACAGATGAAATTTTGTTTGGTATAACTCTAAGTTTTTTATACAGAACCATATATTTTTAAATATTGGTAATCCACATAAGAGATACACAAAACCCTTAAAAATGAGACTATTCAATAAATAAAGTTCCACATTGCTTTGTTCTTATGAACTAAATGAGCTTATAATTCAATGAAACCCTTTTAAGAAGTTCTATAGAATGACACGTTCTAATTGTTTCATCCTATTAACAAAACACTTTGTTTAATTCTCCTCAATATCATCTTCAAAGGGCCTGATTTGGATTACTGTCCAAATATAACACAAGCAGAGGGTGACTGTGTAATGTCTAGACCACGGGCTCTCCGTGAGTTTCAGTTCCGTGTGAGCCGGAGAGTGCCCTTCCCACGAGCTTCCCATCAGAGGCTTTGTAGCACCAGCTCTGACACTCTCCACCAAGCATCCTGTCCTCCTCTCCGTTTTTGGTGGAATGTCAAATTAATAATGGCAGGTGGTGTTCCTTAGCATAACCTGCCAAAATGTGATAATTTCCTTGGAAGAAAAGCCGTGGGCTGCAATCAGACGTCTGAGCTGACAGACATCCAAATGGATCCTGTATATAAAGAAAAGGTTTGTGTCTTCTGGAATATGAATGTCCACTTTTAATAGATTCAAACAGATCCCAACATAAACATCTTCGATCTTGATGGGTTTTACATGACTCATCATTTCATAGATTTTTGGCACCAAATCTCTGGACATTATATAACCGAACCCACTGCAGTAAGGAGGATACACCTTGAAAGGATACTCCTGGTATGAAATGCGGTGTTTTTGGTAAATGATTCCTCTATAGGAATAATTATCAATTAGAGGATAACCTGTGAAAAACTTCTCTGACTGGTTTAAATTTAAAAGGTACTTTACTAAATTGCCAGTATTGATGAAAACATCAGTGTCTGTCTTCATGATGTACTTGGCATTGGGGCAGAACTCAGTTACCCACCTGAATGCCATAATTGTTTTCAAGGTCAGGTTATTATATGTGTCTAAAAAGTCTTGTCGTATTATGTCCCCGTAAAGAAGGTGTTCGTCCTCCAGGGACAATGCTAACACTTTGTCTTCCCTCTCAGCCTGCTGGCCTAGTAAGAAAAACGTAAGAACCTCATATCCCCACCAAGACTTTTTTTCACCCCAAGTAACCCGAACGGCCTGTCTGGCTTTCACATCTGAGGGGTGTGAGGTCACCAGGATGACAAGAAACGGGTTTTGATGAGAGCAGTTTGAACGCTCTTGAAGGGTAAAGCGAAAGTTCTGCCTGTAAATTGGCTCATACTCATAGAAGTACATCCAGTTTACACGTTCTATCACATTGTACTGTGGCAGGCTGAGGTACCACATCACAAGGAAGCTCAGTAGTGACAGCAGAAGGAGGCTCCATTTGAGGGATCTCAGTGACATCCTACTGGGAAGGGTGGGCAAGGGGGCCGGGGCCATCCACAGCAGCTCAGAAATATGTGGCTCAGGTTCTGGAAGATTCATCAAAGATTTGGGGGTTAGTAATCCATCCCCCCAAAACAACACATTTTCAAATGACATCCCATTATCTACTCAAGGAGAAAGGGCAAGAAAGGAGAACAAAGCTCTGAACAAAACCAAAAATTCTGACCTGAATCTTACTAACTTTATTTAACTGTAAACAAATGAACACCAACAATCAAAAATATATTTGAGCTTTTTACATTAGGAGAAAGGTTAAAAAATATTCTTGATTATTTTTGCAAATTAATACTTCTTGCTTGACAAAAATAACTGTTACAATATGATTTTTATCCCAAATGTCCAGAGAGACAGAAAGAAATGAGTAACAGAGGTGGGTTTAAAAATACATCTATGATCCCTGGTTGATGTGGCTCAGTGGATTGAGTGCTGGCCTGTGAACCAAAGGGCTGCCGGTTCGATTCCCAGTCAGAGTGCATGCCTGGGTTGAGGGACCAGGTCCCCAGTAGGGGGCATGCAAGAGGCAACCACACATTGATGTTTCTCTTTCTCCTTCCCTTCCCTTCTCTCTAAAAATAAATAATAGAATTGTAAAAAAAAATAAAATTATGAGGTATTTTGGAGGGACATCAGAAAAATGGTGGCAAGACAGATCTCCTTGGCTTCTCCTCTTTAAGTTTCAACAATCTGAACAGCTCTAATTCAACAGAGATTACCACTGAAACATCTAAAGGTAGGCAATTGGGAATGAATTGAGAAGACAAGAAGGGAATAGGGCTGGGACAAGCCACAGATGCAGCCCTGCAGCCCCAGAGCTCATGGGGGGACTCAGCCCACACATATTTGGTGGGCATTCCCATAGGAGTGGGCTATACAAGCTGCTGCTGAGCCAAGTGACTTGGGCAGGGACACACACATGCACAGAGCTGTGGCCACGGTCATCTGATGGTCAGCATCCCATACAGAGAAACAAAGGCATGGAAACCTGGCCCCCTCTTAACCTTGCAGAGCTCACCTCCCTTCGCCCTTGGTGTTGGGTTGCAGAGCACATTATCTGCAAACCAGAGAGCTAGTGCTTTAGAATCACTTTTTCTCTGAGCAAAGGGTGCACTCTGTGACTCCCGGGATCTGGGAACACAGGGGTACTCCTCAGAGGTTCAAGGTCGACATTACCAGGAGGGCAAAGCAACTTAGAAGGCAGCCAGTTTACTCCAGTCCACCCTGCCTCCCTGCTTTGTGGTATACTAATGACAGTGTCTGCCTGTGGGGGACAGCACTGGGATTTCATGGATTTGAAGCCCCATTGCCCACCTCATTCCCCTGTGGGGTTGGTCCCCTGGGACTGGGGTGACTGGATCACAGGGGACCCATTTTCCCATTTTTACCACGCTGCAGAGATGTGAAAAGCCAGAGAAGTGCAAGAGAACTAAAAAAAACTTATGATTCAGTGCCACTTACTAGAAAATAATAGAAAGACATCTTCATATACATCTATTAGAGAACTGTCATTCTTACATAGATGCCTAGACAGAGAAGGAATCCATCAAGTACCATGAATAACCAAAGTAGTGAGGCAGCTCAGAAAGAAAATGAAAAAATGTCCAAAAAACAAACTTAAAGACATGGAAATATGTGATTTAAATGACAGAGAATTCAAGATCACAGTTCTGAAAAAATCCAATGAGTTGCAAGAAAATACAAACAGGCAGTTTAATGAACTCAGAAACCCAATCAATGAACAAAGCAAGTACTTTACCAAAGAGGTTGAAACTAAAAAAAAAAAGAAAAGAAAAGAAAAAAAAAATTCTGGGGATGGAGAACTTAATAAAAGAGATCAAGAATGAACTAATGAGCATAGAAAATGGAGCAGACCAGATGGATGAAAGGATTAGTGATATCAAAGACAGAAATCTAGAAATGATGCAGAGGGAAGAGAGAGACTTGAGCATAAATAAGAATGAAAGGCCTCTATGAGAACTATCTGACTCCATGAGAAAGAGCAATATAAGAATAATGGGTATACCAGAAAAAAAAGAGAGCTGAAATGGAAGACAGCCTATTCAAACAAATAGCTGATGAGAACTTCCCAAACCAAGGGAAAGAGCTAAGTCCTCGAATCTAAGAAGCAAACGAACAACTAAACACCTCAATCCAAAAAGGCCTTCTCCAATGCACACCATACTAAGCCCGTCAACAATTAATAACAAAGAAAGAATTCTCAAGGCAGCCAGAGAAAAGAAGAAAGTGACTTATATAGGAAAGCCCATCAGTTACCATCGGACATCTTGGCAGAAACTCTACATGCTAGAAAAGAGTGGGAACCAATTAATTATTTAAACTACTAAAAGAGAGAAATTTTTTCAGCCAAGAATATCTCCAGCAAAGTTATAGGAAGAAGAAATAGACTTTTCCAGACATACTGAAGCTGAGGGAATTTATCACCAGAACACTTCCACTGCAAGAAATACTTAAGAGGGTTATTCTACCTAAAATGAAGAACAAAAGGCCACAAAACTACAAGTAAGATGACTAACAGACTTACAGCATAAACAAGGATAATTTGTGACAACAAAAACATAAAAGGGGAAGAGGTACTGGGTCAGCATTTGCAAAAGGGGATGGAGATCAGACAAAGGACTACTGTACATATGAAACTTTCTTTTTCATAAGCCTAATGGTAACCACAAACCAAAAAAAAAACAAAAAATGAAACAAATAACTTAAAAAGAGTTATGGAAAGTGGTATGGAATATCACCAAACAAAAACAACAGACAGAAATGCAAAGGAAAAGAACCAATAAAGGCACAGAGTTACCAGAAAATAAAAGATAAAATAGCTACAGAAAGTCCTCATACATCAATAATTACTCTAAATGTATTGGTAAATGAAGTTAACCAAAAAAAAGGCACAGGGTAGCAGACTGGATTAAAAACCAAACCCATCCATACACTGCCTTCAAGAGACACATCTAAGCTGCAAAGACAAAGACAGACTCAAAGTGAAAGGGTAGAAAGTGATTCTCCAAGCACATAACATCCACAGGAAAGCAGGTGTAACCATTCTTATATCTGACAAAATAGATCTCAAGATAACAAAGGTAACAAGAAAAAAGATGGACATTTTATACTGATAAAGGGGACATTACATAAGACAACATTTCTTAATATATATGCACCAAGTGAAGGAGCACCAAAATATATAAAGCAACTACTAACAGAATTAATGGGAAAAACTGACAAAAACGCAATCATGGTTGGGGACCTAAATACTCCACTGACAGCTCATTCAAACAGAAAATCAATATGAAAGTATCAGCTTTAGAGGGCATGTTAGGCCGAATGGGCATAACTGACATTTATAAGAACAAGAGACTATACGTTCTTCTCCAGTGTGCATGGAACATTCTCAAGGCTAGAACACAGTTGGATCACAAAACTAGCCTCAACAAAATCAAAAAGACTGAAATCATACCAAGCACATTCTCTGACCACAATGCTTTAAAATTAGAAATCAGCTGCAAAAAGGAGGTAAAGAAACCCACAAATATGTGGGTCAAAGAAGAAATAAAAGGTGAGATCAAAAGATATATAGAGGCAAATGAGAATGACAATACAACGTATCAAAACTTCTGGGATGTAGTGAAAGCAGTAATAAGAAGGAAGTTTATGTCACTATAGTTCTACCTCAAGAAATCGGAGAAATCCCAAGTAAACAACCTAACATTACACCTTAAAGTACTAAAAAAGAAGAAAGCAACCCAAAGTCAGCAGAAGGAAGGAAACAGTAAAAATTAGAGCAGAATTGAATGAAATAGAGAACAAAAAGACTATACAAAAATTAATGCAAAAAAGAGCGGGTTCTTTGGGAAGAATATCAAAATTTACAAACCCCTGGCTACACTAACTAAGGAAAAAAATGTCAAGACTCATTTAAACAATATCAGAAATGAAAGAGGAGAGGTTACTGCAGATAATACAGGTATACAAAGGATTGTACTAGAATACTATGAAAGGCTGTATGCCGCCAAATTCAACAACCTAGAAGAAATGGATATGTTCCTAGAAATATATAGCCTTCCTGGATGAAATCATAAAGAACTGGAAAATCTAAATAGACCTAATCAACAGTGAGGAAATTGAAACCATCAAAAACTCCAGGACCAGATGGCTTCACCAGTAAATTCTACCAAACATTCCAAGAAGATTTGATACCTACCCTTCTCAAAATCTTCCAAAAAAATCGAAGAAGAGGAATACTTCCCAACACATTTTATGAGGCCAACATAACCCCAAACCACACAAAAAAGGAAACTACATACCAATATCTCTGATGAATACAGATGCAAAAATCTAAACAAAATCGAATACAACAATACATTATAAAAATAATACATCACGATCAAGTGGGGTTTATCCCAGGAGCACAAGGAAGGTTCAACATATGCAAATTGATCAACGTAATGTACCACATTAACAAAACGAAGGATAACGATCATATGATCTTATCATTAGATACAGAAAAAGCACTAGGTGAGATACAACATTCATTTACAATTAAAACATTCAATAAAATGGGTACAGAAGGAAAGTGCCTCCACATAATAAAGGCCATATGTGACAAACCCTCAGCCAATATCATACTCACTGGTGAAAAACTGAAAGCTTTTCCTCTAAAATCAGGAATAAGGCAAGGATGCCCACTCTCACCTCCCTTAGTCAACACAGTTCTGGAAGTCCTAGCCCAAGTAATCAGGCAAAAAGAGGAAATAAAAGGCATCCAAATTGAAAATGAAAAAGTAAAATTGCCACTTTTGCAGACAATGTGATTCTGTGCATAGAAAACCATAAAGAGTCCACCAAAGAATTCTTAGAAACAATAAACAAATATAGTAAAGCTGCAGGACACAAAATCAATGTGTAAAAATCTACCACTTTCCTGTGTACTAACAATGAAATTTCAGAAAAAGAAAAATACCTAGGATTAAACTTAACAACGGATGCGAAGGACCTATATACTGAAAACTACAAAGCATTATTAGATGTTGAAAAAAACACAATGAAATGTTCCATGCTCACAGACTGGAAAAATCAACACAGAATGGCTGTCATTACCAGCTGTGTTCCACCCTTAGCACCTTTCCCATCCTATTTGTGTCTCTAAATTGATTTTTATTGTCAAAGGGATTATTCTAAAGAAATAATCTTACCTGGCTGGCGTAGCTCAGTGGATTGAGCGCGGGCTGGGAACCAAAGTGTCCCAGGTTCGATTCCCAGCCAGGGTACATTCCTGGGTTGCAGGCCAAAACCCCCAGCAACAGCACATTGATGTCTCTCTCTCTATCTCCCTCTCTCTCTTTCTATCTCCCTCCCTTCCCTCTCTAAAAATAAACAAATAAAATCTTTAAAGAAATAATCTTGATGAATTCTTACTACTTGAAGAAAAGTAGGTTTCAAAGACATAAATATCACTACTGTCTATAATTGAAGGTCTATTTCTTACCTTCTTCTTGATTTATTTTTCTCCGAATGAAAGACCTTCTATTTCACCAACTGAACATTCAGTAGTAATATGCTTGAAATTTCTGTAAGATATAAAAAACATAACAGCATTTGCATAGGGGTCAAGGGAATAGAGAGGTCACAGAGGGGAAGGGATCCTTAGAAGTTGAAATGAAAAGTTAGCCGGTAGTCCGCAGAATGCAGAGAGTTTGTGGCTTCATCGAGGAAGGAGGGCAGTTGATGGTCAAGGCTTAAAACCTGTGTCTAGGTCCTCCCGTCAGCTGGTGACTACGTCACCCTATTACAGTCCCACTTCCTTCAACGAAGAGCTCAGGGGTCATTAGCAGAAGTGAGACACAGCACTTCTAAGTGACACTCTGCTGCTCTCTTCAGTGCTCTATTCCAGTAACGATTTTTTAAAGGGATTGCAGGAATACCTTCCACGCTCAGCAGTGTGGGTGTCAGTGTGGAAGAATGGAGGAGATGTGTGGTGAAGAGGGGAAAAATAGACTAGCCACAAATACTATAAAATAGGTGCTAACTCAGGGTGATGGAAATATAGGCATTCTTATATATTTATAGTTTTCTTTGCATTTTAAATTTATCCAAAAGATGAGAAGAAAAAGCACAATAAAAATCCTTGGATATCAGAGTTAATGGTCCACCCTAAATCTTGGCTGCAACACTACATGGTTGTGTGACCTTGGGGAAGTTAGTTAACTTCATAAAAGTTTGTTTTTCATCTATAAACCAAGCCTTACAATACTAACTCAGTTACTTAGAAGACTGTGGGGGAGAAGACGGATTAACCAGTCAGCTCAGGGGCCCTCAACGACATGAAGTGACACACAGGCACGCGGATGGATGCGCGCACTATGAGCTCACAGGCATCTAACCACCTGGCCTCACCGCTGGGGCGGGCTCAAGCCCTGACCTCGGCAGCGCAGGGCGGCTGGCCTCCCAGCACAGGCCAGCCTGGGATAGCTGAGCAGTGGGCCCCGTGAACCCTGTCACTGTCCTAAATCCCACAGCCCGAGGAAGGGACGAAAAGAGGCCCCAAAACACTGGTGGATAGAAAAATACAAAAAGGCCAAACAGGGAAGTAGACCATTATTTCATCACTGACTTCTTAAATAATAATGCCACACATCATGATCAAGAAAGCAATTATATATAAATTATAATTTAAAATTTTCCATTTTATAAAAATAAACATGTGATTACATAACTATACAAGTGTTCACCAACTGGACCTAAGCAAACAACCTTCCTTACCACACAAGCCTAGCGCAACGCTCGGTACAGAGCAGGCCACCGGTGAGGGCTTGTTAACTTGGTAGTTGATCCCTAACAGCTGCAAAAAACATCTCAACTAACAGAAAAGCCCAGAAAACCTCCAGAGACAGAACACGCTGTCGGCGTCCAGGTTACGAAGTGTGCCCAGGATTTAACCAGCAAGTGGAATCACCATCCCCAGACGAGGGCACCTCGGTTATCAGGCACCAGAACGCTGTGGCCGCTCCCGGCCCAGGACAACCACAGGCTGTGCCTACAGGTGTCTGAGCGTCAGAGGGGTTCTGCGGACCACAGAACAGGAAATCATGCAAACAAACTTGCACTATTATTTTACATGGAAGGCTTCTCAGAGTTTTTAATGTTAATGTGTGTTCTCTCAGAAGAGAATATATTCTTCAGTGTTTCTCAAATTTGTCTGAACAAAAAAACCTATTTAATTTTCAGAGCCTCTGGTAGGACCAGAATTCCACACTTTGGGAAATCCTGTCCTGGAACATCTTTGCACTCATTGAATTGAGAAACTACTTTCTGTGAATTAATAAATATTTAAGGGTAGTTGGAGTAAAAAATAAATTTTTGAACACATTTGTTCAATCACTTTGAAAAACTTTTCAGTGTTATTTACTAAGGCTGAACATACATGTACAGCAACCCTACAATACAACAACACCACTCCTAGGTACAGCACTCAACAATGTGTGTGTGTGTCAGCACACCAAATACGTCCAAGAAAGTTCATAGTAGCACCACTCGGAATTACCCCACAGCAGAGCAGAGAAATGAACTTACATAACAGCAAAGTGTACAAAATGAAAAAGAACAAACTGCAACCTCACATGACACCATGGAGAATCTCCTAATGTAATGCTGAGCTCAAGAAACCAGATACATAAAGAAGAGACATTTTTCCATTCACACAAAGTTGAAAAGCAGGCAGAAGTAATCCATAGTGTCAGAAATGAGGACTCTGGGGATGTGGGGGGAAATACCAACTGGGAGGGGCCGAAGGGGACTTTCTGGGGTGCTGGCCATATTCTATTTCTTGACCTACATTGCAGCTACAGGTGTATTTACCTGAATAACTTGTCTTCTAACTTGTGTACTTTTCTTTTTGTTTGTTACACTTCCACAGACACATTGACAAAGTGAGGCCATCCTGTCTGTCACTCTGCACACCTGGTGACTGTGTGCGGTCGGCGTGGGCAGGTGTCTACGCCACGTGATAGCCCCGGGTGCCCACGTCGTGGTGAGAGCACCAGCAGGCGGTGCCGGGCACTAACCCACGCAATCTTCAAGAGAGCCCATGAGTTAAGACGCTTTTAAAACCTTTACTGTTTGCATTTAATAGGTAACAAAACTAAGGCTTGGAAGAGTCAATAACTAGCCCAAAGCTGCAGGCTTGTAAGTGGTGGAGACAAAATCAAACAGGACTCCAAATTTCAGGTTCATGGCCACTACACTCCTATCTACACTAGGGAGTCTGCTGCGTGCCCCTACACCAGAGCTGGTCTGAGTGGGTTTTACTTTCTTGCAACCATTGAATCTTGATAGAAACAGAAAAGCAACATCACAGCCTTACTGTGTTTAAGTAAAAAGACTCAAGATTCTCACTCTCAAAATCTGAAATATGCTCTGGCTGGCATGGCTCTGTGGACTGACCGCTGGTGTGTGAACCACAGGGTTGTGGGTCCGATTGGTTCCCAATCAGGGCACATGCCTGGGTTTCGGGCCGGGTCCCCAGCTGGGGGCATATGAGAGGCAACCAATTGACAGCAATGTTTCTCTCCCTCTCTTTCCACCTCCCTTCCCCTCTCTTTGAAAATAAATAATCTTTAAGAAATTCCTGAAACATGAAGTATTAACCATAGTAATAGTTGATAATGAATCATTCATACAAACACAGACTTTTTATTTTGCAACAAAAATATGCACAAAAACAAAAACCCCAGGAAGTAAATTGGGGTTGGGGTGACACAGAGAAATCAGCTCAAATGAGAATCAATGCTCCAGAGAAATGGAACAAAGAGTTACTGCAATGGTACAGTTATGTAAACCAATGTAACTTTCCTGAATTCTTTCCTGGGATGCAAAAATGTTGGTTACTTTTCTGCAAAAGGAAAGCAAATTCAATTATTTTAAAAAATATGCAAAATATTTTCTAATTGCAAATGTAACATATGTCCATTAGAGAAAGTTTTGTGAATGCAAAAAGGCACAAAGATAATAAAAGCTTAAAGATAACATTACCATTTTTAGTGAAGGTTTATCAAGTCTGTCCCTCCATCCCATATGCTGCCACTGCCTCCTCCCATCCCTACCACAGCCACGGTGGCTTCCAGTCCGGCCCCTGAATGTGTCCACCTCTTACCCACCCTTGCAGAATCTGCACTTGCTCTCCCTCTCCAAAGCTGGCTCAGGGGGAGGGGTATGAGGGGACTAAAAGGTAACGGGGAAAAACAACAACGACAACAAAAAAGCTGGCTCTAGAGAAGTCTGGTTCTTTCCCATGCCTCAGGTCTCAGCAAAATGTTATTTGAGAGTGTCCTTCCTGGGCCTCCTATTTCAAGTAGTTCCCTCAAGCCCTTATTTTCTATCACATCCCTCATTATCCTCTCCTTAGCATGTAAACCCTACCTGAATTTTTTCTGTCTGTTCCCTTCATAAGAATGTGAGATTCATGAAGGAAAAGACCTGCTCACTGCCATATCCCTGGTGCCTAGCACATAGTGGGTGCCTGCTAGACAACTGAATAATGTACAAATAGTTTGGTAATGTGCTTCTTTATCCACTTAATATACTGAGAAAATATTCCCAGGAACAAACTGAATCCAAAAGTAAACTCCTGAATTTCTGTTGGATGATACTTTCCTTTTCTTCAGCCATTTTTCTAACACAAAGCGTTATTCTTTCTTTAAAGACTTTATTTATTTTTTTAGAGGGGGAAGGGAGGGAGAAAAGAGGAAGAGAAACACCAATGTGTGGTTGCCTCTTGAGCGCCCCCAACTGGGAACCTGGTCTGCAACCCAGGCATGTGCCCTGACTGGGAATCTATCTCCTGACCCTTTGGTTTGCAAGCTGGCTCACAGTCTGGCACTCAATCCACTGAGCCACAACAGCCAGGGCCAAAGGTTTATTCTTATATGCTACACTGATTCTGAGCATGTGCAGTTTAAAAGGTCCACACAGGAAAAAAAAATTTTTCAATGAAAATCAAGCATGCTAGATTCAGGATCATCCAAGGAGAAAGCACGTGCTAACTATTAAAGATAATTACGAAACTACTGCCACTGTGCACATTCTGACTTTTCTATATAAAAACAATACAGCAAAGAGGGTGGAAATCTAAATGCTCGGAAAAGGCCCTGTGTGTACTGAGTTTAATACAAGTCCTAAGCACACACATCAATCATGTCCCATTTCCTACAAAGTGGGGGGGACCACCTATCAACACGCACCCATGAGGAAAACTTATCGAACTGAACCCATTCATTCACGGACAAAGCAATACAAAACGCAACTGTTCTGACCTCGGATCACGTCAGAAACAAACACCACCGGTGATGTTTCATCACAACACCTCCTTCTCCTCTTCTTTCAACCCAGTCTTCACCACAACACCTCCTTCTCCTCTTCTTTCAACCCAGTCTTCACCACAACACCTCCTTCTCCTCTTCTTTCAACCCAGTCGTTCTCAAGCTCTGCTGCAGATTATCATCTCCTGGAGAACGTCACCCCGTGTGTACCCCAGGGTGCGCCCGGGACCAGCCTACTCAGTTTCTGAGAGTCGGGCAGCAGAATCTGTAAAGCTTCTCAGGTGACTCCAATGTGGAGCTTGTTAGAAATGCAGAACCCCAGGCCCCACCCCGGACCTCCTGAATCAGAAGCGACATTTTACGAACTAACACATGTTAAGCAGTTAGGATGGCGCTGGCACGCTGGCAGCTAAGTAGATGGCTCTGCCATTGTTATTAAAGTCTGCACTACAGGCTCCATCCAATTTTCCCTGATTTGCTCACATTGTATTTACAAACCCCGGGGATAGCTCCAATGTTTCCTACTGGACAGCATATGCTTTATAACACACTTAAACACACAAATAAATCCTAGTCTGTCCCCTTCTTCCTCCAAATCAGGCCTTTTTTTAGAGGTCTAGGATTACGTTTCCTCCAGAATCTCAAAGTTCCTAATGTTCTGCTACCCTGAACGTACAAGCCCACAGTACCCACTGGGAACAGCGCTCAACGCCAAATGTGGGCCTCCTGGACCCTCCTGCACCCCGGGCTCCCCTCTCTCATGACCCTTCCTCCTGCCCCATGGTCTTTCCACAGCTTAATGACATCATTTTTTGATGCATCATTTGCCCTGTCAAAAGTCCTACAATAGGTACTTCTAGCCACTGGAGGAGAACGACAAAACATATTAACCTTTTCAAATTGAGGTGTGAGATATTCAAGTGACATCAAGCTCCTTTCAGGACTGTGCATACTTGATAGGCTTCCATTTTTATTTTTTACTTTGAAGCACACAGCTGGACGTAAAATAAAGACTCAAATTTTACTTATTGAATGAATGAACTGTGACTGCTGTATTTGCCTAATTTAATAATGCTTAAAAATAGCCCCAGCTGGTGTGGTTCAAGGGACTGTGAACCGAAGGGTCGCCGGTTCGATTCCCAGACAGAGCACATGCCAGGTCCCCAGTAGGGGGCGTGTGAGAGGCAACCACACATTGATGTTTCCCTCTCTTTCTCCCTTCTAAAAATAAAATCTCTTAAAAAATGCTTAAAAATAAAATTTGCCTTAATCTGTCAATGGTTTGCATTAAAAAGAACTTGCTTTCTACTTCATCCATTTCTTCACACTCCCCTCCCTCTGTATTTTAGCAATAGCTCCTGGGTGGTCCTGGTACTGCAACAAGATCTTTCCATCCCCCCCACCCCCTCATCTGTTTGATGATTAAAACCACCTTAGGAGAGAGCCCCATCATTATAACATTTATCTGCCAGCTAAGGACACAGATTTGGAGACCTGCTCCTTAGGGTCACAGCCAGCTGGGCTGTGAGTAGGGCTGGGAGTCCCAGTGTCCTCACCCCCTCGGCGGGGTCTGTAACCACTACACTATGACACATCCTTCATCACTTGGTTTTTCCCACCCGCCTGGCATTTTCACACTTCCCTTCAAGTTGTGTAGCACCTCGGATCTTCCTCCGGGATGAAGAGTTGTCAAAGCCAAACCCGAATCTTTAAAAAGGGAGAAATCCTAAATGCAAACATCGCTCAATCTCCAAGCAAGTCAAGCTTGGCTCCCTGGGAATTAGTCACAGCTACACTTCCAGAAAGTGTACTTTGCAAGGACAGTTTTCAGAAAGGAAAGATGTGCTGAGGAGAAAGAACATTAATGAACGTGCTTTCCAAATAACCCGGAATATGCGTCTGAACTTCGGCAAACATCAGTGAACACTTAGACACAAACGTGGTGACCATCGAGGGCCAGCGCAGATTCACAAGATCCTTTCATCTGATAAGCCTCACCCCCGTTTTCGGTGGGGTTCCTTGACCAGAAGAGCAAGGGCGGCCTTAGATAACACACAGGAATTAAACTTCGCTGAAGAGGACAGGACACTGAACGGTCCTTCTGAACCACATGGAAAGAAGTGAGGCCGATGACCCTGCCTACATGGTTTCGAAACGGTCAGACCCCTCGGAGCCGGTGTATGAGTTGTGCGGTCATTTGCTCCACACGCAGTTTTGGGCTCCAGCGGGACTGCGAGAATACGGCGCTGAGGAGCACAGCAGCCGCAGATCTGCCCTCCCGCTTAGGTGCCGAGTTGTTGGGGCACCTCTGTCAACCTGAGAGACAACCTCCAGGGTTTAACCGCAGCCCTATCTTCAGCGTTTAACATTCTTCCCTGGTTAACATTTCTTACCGAAGACAAACGAATGTAGGCTTATTCAATTTTGTGAACAAGAAAAATCAGGGAAAAAATAGTAAATTCTATAGGGATATAATTACAATCTAAAATGCTTTCAACAGGTCGGAACAGGGCTAAAGTATGATAAAATCTGATGACAACAGATTTACTGTCCAACATCAAAGTTAAAAAAAAAAACAACCGCACAAGAGCAGGATGGGGGATCATTTTAACAGCAGCCTATGTTAAAAAGACAGTGAGGTTCTAGTGGAGTGGGAGTTCAAGAGGAAGAAAGGTGGTGACGCAGAGGAGTAACGGGAGAGTCGGGGGGGACCAGCATTTTAGTTCTAACAGCTGCGGGTGAGGCGAGGGAGTGCTGAGTCACTGAATTTGGAGAGTTGCTTTTCTCATCAGAACATCAGGGGATTAGGCCAGAGCACCTCTCAGGCCCCATCGAGCTGCACCAGTGCAGATGATGTTCATTCTGTACACGGCTGTGTCCCCAGCATCACGCACAGTGTCCGGCACACAGAAAGCATTCCCCAAGTGCTGCGAGTTAATACCATCATGCATCCTCCTCCCTCAACACACACATACACCAACCAAAAGCCCAGTAAACTCTTGGGTTCAAGAAACAGAAAAATAAATGTCTCAGCAAAGCAGGTTTTATCCCATAGCCACATAATACATTCCACTTTAAAAGGACCATTGACAAGTTCGATATAATTCAGAGGAAGGTAACCTGTTGGTTATGGATTTGGTTTATCATCTCTCGCGAGGACTAGATGAAGCAGTGGCTGAAGGAACTGGGGGATGTTCTGCTCTGGGAAAACTGAAAGCTTGGAAGAGCCATGGTAGTTGCTTTCAAATATTTTGAACAATATATCAGTCTTAACTCCAGAGGGCGAATGGAAACACAAAGACAAAAATTAGGACAGGGTCCAATGTACTTTTCTAAAATGGACTGCTCTCCACCCACGGAAATCTCCAAGTGGCTGGCAGGAATGTTGAGGAAATTAATGACTCATTGAGTTGCATTTTAGGTAACCTCTAAGGCCCCTCCCAACTCCAAGATTCCATGACTTTGTATGGGTGTTTAATATGCAATATATGGAAAGGCTTCAGTTTCATTGGATTTTATTTTTATGTAATTTTAAACATGTCCAATTTTTAATATAAGTATTCACTAAGTCAAAGAAAACACCCTTCCATTAAGTTCAACTTCCCATGGTTGTTACAGTTGTAAGTAGATGGTGAGCATAAATACCTAACCCCCCTTCACCGTTTCCCAATTCTGCCCTTGGACCCCCTGTGGGTCACACCAGTACCACCTTCAGGTGTATTCTGAGATGCATGGGAGAATGTCTTCCACTCAAGTCTTAGAATAGAGGGGTCCTGCCTTGGTGGGTAGAAGTAGAAGACACCTGGATTTTTTAAAACATATTTTAAATAGATATATTATGTGTGTGTATATATATGTATACACACACACACACACACACACACACACACACTGTTGGCAGACAAAGTTGTTTCTTGTAGGAATGACAATATGTGGGTATATGTATTGATTTCTGGGCTATGTAGGTACTTTGGGCTAAGAAAAATGATCAAGACATGAGAGGAAAGTTCAACTGTAGTTTTCGCTTTTTCCCCATCTGTACCTGCCAACAAAAAAGCCCACTCTTATTAGTAAGAATGCATGTTAGGGTTTAAATGAGGTGGGCTTTTGGCTTAAGTCTGTCCCCTGCTAGAGCAGTTTACAAAGCACATTCACAACACTGTACTGTAGGTATTATCATTCCATTTTTCAGAGACCTGTGTAGTCAAAGTACAGGCAGACCGGGAGGCCCAACTCAGGCCTGCCTCCAAATGCTGTGCTCCTTCTCCAGAGAGCGCAGTGCCCGCAGAAGAGCCCAGCCTCACCTCTGATCCTACAGCCTCTTGAGACTCCTGGGCAGGGAGCTTTATAAAGTAAAGGCCTGTGGACTTACCTTTGCACTCAGGGGCGGGCTCTCTGGGAGAATGCCATGACACAGCAGCCTGTGGGAAGAGGCAACAGGACAGCCGGATCCGAAGACGCTAGGAAAACTGGGGCAGAGCAAAGATCACACCGATCAGGCAGAACATCAGAAGGCTGACTTGAAAGCTAGACTTCCCGTGTCTGTTTGGTTACAGCTTTACCAATTGCAGGGAATTTCATTCATTCATTCGGTATACTGGACCCGTGTCAGAGGCTGGGGCTGCAACAGGGAAGATAACAGACAAACCCTGCCCTCAAGTGGCTACACTCCAGGAAGAGCAAGGAGGAAGGTTCACATCACCACCAAGCTGCACACTAAAAGTAACGGGTAAAGTTCACTTGGAGAAGATGAAGGGAGACCGCTCTCCTCAAACGCCTCCAAGTTAGTGGTCAGCCTCCACGGTCCGGAGCTGAATTTGCCATCTCAGAATACGTGGATGCTCAAAAAAGGTTCAAATTATAGAACCTGGGTCAGTTTAGAGTTAGGAACTATTTAATGCTCAGAGGTAAGAGTCAATGATTATTTTTTATCTGAGAAAGTGGGTGACTCCATCTTTGAAAACAGGGTCTGTTACCAAAACAGTAGCCAAATACAGTTCCAGAGGAGACATGGACTGGGCCCTCAGTCACACCGTGGGGAGCTTGTCCGAGCACAGCTGAGGAGGTTAGCAAAATTCTATGTTCTAGCCCAGAAGTGGGAAATTAAAAAAAAATAAAATAAAAAGCCAGACAGCAAATATTTTTTTTGTGAGCCCTATGGTTTCTCTCCCAGCTACTCAATTATGCCTTTGCAGTAAAAACAGAGCCATAGATAACATTAAACATATAGGTATGGCTGTGCTGTATTAAAATCGTATTTATAAAACAGGATGCTGGTCTGGAAGTGTTTATTCTAATCACATGACACAGTATCCCTTAGGATATCAATGAACTCTCCTAAGACTGCCCTTCTCTAGGTTTCCTCATGTTCCCAAAGGGCCAGGCTATGGAAAACAGGGTCTCAGTGCTGACAACATGTCTCCTAAGTGACATGGTTCCTGGAGGGTAGGCAGGGCTGATAACTGTCCATCTCAGCTGTGGATATGATATGGGGCAACAAAAGGCCTCGGCTTTCTGATTAACTACCTGTGTTCAGGGTCAGACACACACTGAATGGTCAACTTTGATCATCTACTCTAGTTTTCTGGTTTTTCTTCTTTCATTTTCCAGAGCTTCAAGTGGCACAAGCTCTTGAAGCTAAATCTTCCATCCTGCAGCCTCTCAAGGCCCTACCCCACAGATGTTCTCCCCTTAACCAGATGTGGTCCCTGAAAATCTCCATGCTTCTAGCCCATACATACCCTCATCTTACCCTCTCCTCTAATTCACAATGTGCCAAAAGCTCTGGTGCCAAACCAAATCAGTATTTATAATATGCAGCTTTTCATTAAGATAAACCATTGCGTGCTTTGGCTGGTGTGGCTCAGTGGATTGAGTCTCGGGCCTCTGTCGCTGGTTCGATTCCCAGCCAGGGGACAAGCCTGGGTTGTAGGCCAGGTTCCCATTAGGGGGTGCTAGAGAGGACACCACACATTGATATTTCTTTCCCTCTCTTTCTCTCTCCCTTTCCCTCTCTAAAAATAAATAAATAAGTAATAATAATAAAAGAACATTGTGCAAAGTCCCAAAAGAAATATTTGCCAAAGAGCCTACTGATAAGTGAACTGCAACTTTTGAATGCATCCATTGTGCAAGGTCATTTAATAGCACCCTGTTTGACTCCACACACTTGACCTCACTCATGAAGCTGCGATGTATGGTTATCTAACAATACTGTGTGCAAGAAAAAGCAATGACAGCTTTTAGAGCCTCAACAGAAAGCATATTTGGCCTGGACATTATATATAGTGGTGTAAGGGATAAAGGCATTTCTTAGAATGGGATTCTACCCATTTTATCCAATGAGTCAGAACAGGGCCTGAAACTGGGCACAGAGAGAAGGCAAATCATTTGAAGAGGAAAGGAAAGAGAAGAAAGTATCCACTGGCGTATTTTCTTAGGGATAAAGTGAATTAAGTCTGAACTTGAAGTTGACTATAACCACCAAATTACAGGTATATAGTTAAATTTTCCTTAGGTAACATATTTTAATAATTCCATTTTTAAAACACATATATATTTTATTAAATGACTTAATGGACCTTAATTAACTCTTGTAGTTCACAAATCCTTTGAGGGGAATAAATATAACAAAATTTGTAGGTGTGTATATGATCCTTAAAATTTTGTAAAGGAGACTTAGCCAGGTAGCTCAGTTGGTTAGAGTATCATCCAGATATGGGAAGGCTGTGGGTCTGACCTATGGTCAGGTCACGTACAAGAATCCACTAATGAATGCATGAATGGGTGGAGCAACAAATCGATGTTTCTGTCTCTCTCTCTTCTCCCCTCCCTCTGTAAAATCAGTAAGTGAAAAAAAAATTAATTTTGTGAGGGAGACTATTATTATGGTCAATTTTAACCATGGAAAGGATAATTTCTAAGTTAAAATAAGATGAGCTTACCTGTAACATTTCAGATGAGGCCAAAGCACTAGCTGAAGTTCTTTGTTGTTTTCTGTATCCCATGCTTTAATTAAAACAGATTTGCTGGGGGCTATGGAACCGAAGAACAGAAGAAGAATACATCCGAGTCATAACAACACTGGGCACTATGACATCTGAAATCAATGTTCTATACCTATCTAGCTGCTAATTATTATATATCGACATTTCATTTTTGAAAAAATGATCCTCTTGTCTTCCTTTTTTGTTTTCAAAGGCATCTAATCTGGAATTATATTTAGCCACTGTTTTAATAATAGGCTTTATTTTCAGGGCTGAAAGTACCCAATGATCATTCATTTGAATGAAGCTTCCAGTGTAGAAGAAAAATGTCATAGATTCTTATCGCTTAATTTTAAACAGTTCCCTTCTCAAGATTGATGCAGATTCAATGTGCACTTTTATCAGGCATCCACACAAAATCAGACTCTGAAAGCACAAAATCAGCGCCCTACCTCTGCCTAAGTCGTCTGGGGAAAGCTAAAACACAAAGTTGTTCCCAGTTGAGGACTGCAAACTCAAATCTTGCATCTCTGAAAACGGGGGTGGGGGGGGTGGGGAGGACAAGGTTTGGTCATTTGTTCCTTGGTAGTAGATATTCCTGACAAAGCAGGCACATCCTAAAAGCTGGCACGATGTACAAAATTCAGAGAAAAGGAAGCCCTGTCTGCCCCGTGGATCGCCCTTCTAGACCGGCAGTGCGGAGTGGAAGACAAGGAACGCAACCCGTCCTTGCTGTTGGCATCATTCTCAGTGCTTGGGAAAGTGAGATTCCATTGCACCTTGAAGATTTCTTTTAAAACGCCGAATATACTCGTTAAGATCTCCCCTTATAAACCCTGTAACCACTAGGGGTTTCTTCCACTTGCGCCCAATTCGTCCCTTCTCTTCCTTAGGTCCACCTTCTCCCAATCCCTCCCTATAAAGAACCTTCCTACCGTTCGGCTCCCGGGCCCTTCCCCAGGGCCTTGGGAGTGCGTTTGCCTCGGGCCTGTTGGGGATCCACGAACACCAAAATAACATCTCGGCTCTCTCCCCCGCCGCCGCCAACGCCCCCTCCCTCCTGCAGCTCCCGGAGTTCGTCTTCGGAGCTGCCGCGGTTACGAGAGGCTGGCCGGGGCCGAGCCCTAGAGCAGTGCAAGGCCCGGAGTGCTCGTTACAGCCGTGCGGCCTTAGTCAAGCACGCACCCCGGCGCTCCTCCCTCTAGTCCGCCGTGCTGCCGGGCCCCTTCTCCCGCGCTCACCAGGGTGGAGCATCTGTTCGTCCTGGAGGCCCCAATCCTAGGGCTCGGCCACTCGTCCCGCTACGCCAGCGGCTCTCCAGGAGAGGGCCGAAGGAGTGGGCGGCACCGCCCAGCCGTCCTCTCGGTCTGGCCGTTCTGGTCCCAGTGTCCCAGAGGGCACGTCCCCGGAACAGCGAGTCCCAAGGCCGAGCTCTCCACCCAGCCCGGGATCTCCAAAACCTCAGGGATGCCCCTAGACCCCTCCTCACTCTTACCTTCCGCGCGCTGCGCGTCCCCAACTCGATCGCGTGCGGCTGCCGACTCTCCCGCCCCGCGCGCACACGCACCCTCCGCAAGGCCGGGCGCGCTCACACCGCACGGGGGCCGGGAGCCTCTCGCTCTCTGGCGAGCGCTCGCGGCCCCTCGCAGCCCCGGGTCCGCCGTACGTACTCGCCTGGGCGTACTATTACAATCCTCGCCATCCCCAAGTACCATCGCCGTGGTATTAGGTGTGCATTTTACACTCGAGGCTGGCGGGGGTTAGGCGATTTAATGGGCAGACCTCCCGAAAGGATTTCTGCTTCAGACTCGCTCCTCTTTGGCTGCTTGCAATGTTTCCAGGCCGCTTAAAGGTACGCGCTGGAGGCCGAGAAGGATTTACTTATTAAAAATCCTCATGGAGCTATTCAGGAAAACAGAAAATTTAAGAAGTTCTTTGGTCTTTCAGAAGAAGTGCGCATTCGCGTTCTAGAATCCATGGAGAACGAAGGGTGGGTATACATCAGGGTTTCAACGGTCTGGTGTACCAACAGGAATCGTAGGGAGTCGCGTGCTCTTGGGAAACACCTCTCTGGATACCTTCCTTTGGTCTGGGGAATTGAAAGAAGGTCAGTTCCACCCGGAGTCGTCGCCTTTTATGTAGTGGTCCCTGGGAGGTAGTGGAGAGGCTTTCAGGCATGAGAGCTGGGTGTTTGCTGAGTTGTGGCCATACTAGTCTTTGGATGGAAGTGGTTGTATTAATTCAGAAATAATATTTCTTCTCCTTTTATGGCATCCCTGGAAGAGTGTCATCTGCAAACAGGTTCCCATTCTGGCCACTTGGCTGTGGGACTGTGAACAGCTTGGCTCCATCATTACTGTGTAAAAAGTTGAAAAAATAGTTTAGTGAACACCTGTATATATTCCTCCAAGACTGCATAAAAACATTTTTCCATAGCTTCCTTCTACGTCTCTTTTCTAAATACTTCAGCTTGCATTTCCTAAGAATAAAGACAGACTTTTTTTTATGTAACCACGTAAGAACCTTTATCACATTTAAGAAATCTAATACTTTGATATCATCTAATATCTGGCCCTTATACAAATTTCTCCAGGTGCCAAAAAATCACATGTTGTAAAAAGATAGTACAAGGAAGATTCATACATTGCATTCATTGTTATGTTTGCCTTTTTTTTAATGCATAACAATCCTCCACCTTCTTTGTTTCATGGTATTAACTTTGAGAAAAGTTTTGGCTAGCTATCACAGAGGGTTTTACTTTCTCAATTTGTCCCGCCTTTTTTCCCTCCTGATGTCATTTAACTTTTTATCTTGCAGCCTCATTTCCTGTAAGCTACATGGTAAGAATCCTTCATGCTTTACGAGGTACTTTTCATATTGTTTCCCATCAGGAAGAACATAATATTAAATACTGAACACATCATGTTAATTCTTAACTGAGTAATATTAGGTTGTCTCAGTATCAGTGATCACTGAAATCTCAAGTATTCTCCAGACTTCTTTGTTATAAAGTTCATCCCCCCCACTTTTCTTTAAAAATTCTCACTCAAGGTTATGTTTATTGATTTGAGGGAGGGAGGGGGAGTGAGAGGGGAGGAAGAGAGGAGAAACATTGATGTGAGAGAAAAACACTGATTGATTGCTTCCTGTACCCGCCCCCCAACTGGAATCAAATCCACAACCTAGGTGTGTGCCCTGACCAGGAATTGAACCTGCAACCTTTTGGCACACAGAATGATGCTTCAACCAATTAAGCAATGCAGCTAGGGCCCAGTTTCCCCTTTGAAGGTAAAAATCTGTTCACCTACTGGCAGAGTAATCATCTGGATCATTCTGGTACCTACTGCTTCAGATGCTTCATTAAATTAAATACTAGCTTTATTCAAAGAACAGTAAAACTCTGGTCTCTGTGGAGTTTGGGCCACAGTTCCTGTGGATAATTCTGGCAAAACAAGATTTTGTGATCTAATCCAGGAGGAATTTTCTATATTTAGCTGGGCATACCTGATCTAAACTCCCAGCTCCATTCTAATAACAAAAACAAATCGAGAATATACAATACTGTATGTAATCTCTACCTGTCGTCATCTCATCTCTGTATCATAGCTTAGATATCTATGGGTATGAACTCATCCATTTAAGCTCATAAACTCTGCTGGGCAAAAGCTATGTCAAGCTTACTCTATATAACAATGACCACCTCAATTTCCACAAGAGAACTCTCCAAAGGCATCATCTAATCCACAGACAAATGTAGTGTTCTAAACAGACAGCCTGTATCTGTACTTCCCAAAAGAGGACAGTCTTTAGCGAGGCAGTCTAAGCCTGTGGGTGGTATCAATGGTTTTAGTTTGCATCAGCAAACAAGTGTTTGCATCAGCAAAATCAGTGTTTGCTCTTGGCCCTGCCAGTTGATGTTAATTTCATCAGAGTCAGCCTTCTAAGAGTCCAAAACAGAAGCTGCAAGGCAGAAGCTAGTCTCAAAAATTTTGTAGCATCATTTTGTCACATTCTATTGGTCAAAGAGCAAGCACAGGATCATTCGAGATTCAAGGGGAGGGGACTAGGTAAGGACATGATCAGCAGGAGATGAGGCTTCCTGGTGGGGCATGGGCACACATTTCAAAAGGAACTACTAGGCCAAATGCAAACACAGATGTATAATATTGGTTGTCCTGGTCCCTTTCTCAAAATCGTGTGGGTCTGGGTCATCTGTTTAACATCAAGCCTAGCCATAGTCACCCATCACCAGTTGTGAACCACACATCTGCATTGGCTCTTAGGATGGCCCACCATTTCTTTTCATTGACCAGTTCCTTGGTTCAACAGCTTCTTCCTGAACAGAGCCTTTTTATTCTTGCAAAAAAAAAAAAGAATAGGGAGTGAAATGTGTATTTAAAAATCATTTATGGTAATTTGAAAGCTCTCTGAAAATAATAGAGGTGGATGTAGGAGTTAAAATGGGCATACCACAGAGCTGTGCTTAGATAGCAGCAGCGCAAGTCCAGGACCTGGACTTAGCTGGCACTGTATAAACACTTCAGTCTAAATCGTGATCATGATTCTTTTCCTGCTTCCGGCCTGGCAGGTAGCTGTGCCCTTTGCAAAGGGTGAAGTGATTGCTGCCTGCTGATACCTTTATCAGAGCCATTCTTCACCACACCTTGGCTGAAAGTTCACCTCGTTAAGTAAAGAAAACCCACAAATAACAAAATGAGACAGGCTCCATTGCAATCAGATTACTTTATGGAAAAACAGACTTCTGCATTTGGAAAGATGCTGTAGGGCATTGATGTCATTTTTTACAATTCTCCATTTTTGTTTTAGAAAAGTTATTCCTCTACCTATGTTTTTAAAATATTTTATTTTTAGAGAGAGGGGAAGGGAGGGAGAAAGAGAGGGAGAGAAACATCAATGTGTGGTTGCCTCTCACATGCCCCCCTACTGGGACCTGGCCTGCAACCCAGGCATGTGCCCTGACTGGGAATCGAACCAGTGACCCTTTGGTTTGCAGCCCATGCTCAATCCACTGAACTACACCAGCCAGAGCTACCCCAACCTATTTTAAATATGTTTTGCATATCCCATGAATGACTAGTGAGTGTGTGTGCTTATACCTTCCAAAACCTTCCTAGAATGTGGAACAGAGTCAGGGACAGCAGTTTGGGGGTAAGAAATTCTCCCAAAAAATATATGAGTGAGAAGAAAAGGGCCAAAACCTTTAAGAGAATGTTTCCTTCGACGCAGCCTTCTTGTTCTTTGTGTAGCATTCATTAGCTTGTGAGTCAGTTATCTACTGCCATAGAGCAAACCATCCCATTTATTAAAAATATCAATTTAATGTTTCTCACAATTCTGAAGCTTGGTTGGGTGGTTCCTCTATGGGTGTGTCTGAGCTCCTCACATAGTTATATTTAGCTGCTGCAGGGATTGGTAAAAGTATCTGTGAAGGGCCAGAAATGCACATTTTAGGCTATGTGTCTGTTTCACATTCTTCTTTGTTATCTACTTATTTTATATAAACCTTTAGAAAGCAAACGCTGTTCTTCGCTCAAGGGTCCTACATAAAAGCAGCCCGAGGGCCAGATTCAGCCCACAGGCTGTAGTTCGCCAACCCCCAGACTGGAGCACCAGCTGAGCTGAAGGTCCAGGGTGGCCTCACTCACACATCTGGTGGTTATTGACACTGTCCACTAAAGGCCATGATGCACTTCCTAGGGGATCTCCATCCCCTCACCGACTAGAGAATGTGGCTTCTTATCCTCCTTAGGCTACAATGTCGGTCTGTGGGCAGCATCCGAGAGAGTGGAGGCTCAAGCTGTCAGACTTGTTAAGACATAGCCTGGGGAGTCAAGCAAAGTCACTACGCCACATGCTGTGATCAGAGGGAGCCATGAGGCCTATCTGGATTCAAGGGCAAATAGACTCTTTCTCAATGGGAGGAGCTGCAGACATCATGGCTGCAGGTAGCAGAGCTAAGTGGCAGGTGTCTACTGCGTGTGCTTCCAACGGAGATCAAAGGCTGATGCTAGCCTTGACGTTAGATTGGCTCTGAAAGCCTCATTAAGATAACTTTAAATAGAGTCATAAAATGGAATTTATAATGTATAATGGCAGCTATTGTTCTTACTCTCTCCTTTGCCCATTCTGCCCCGCCTGCTTCCAGTTCTGTGAGCACACACTCATTTCCCTCAGTACTTGTTTCCAAGTGTCTCCGCCATGAGACCATCAGCCCCCAGAAGAGACCATGCCCTACCGCTCTGCCTGGCTGGGAGTTATCTTCAATAGATATGTACGGATTTTTTTTTAGTACTGAAAGAAATAAATAAATTTATCTAAATTTGCAGAAAACCCAACTGTATACAAAGACAACTCAATAAAGTCCAGATAGACTTTAAATATAAATATGAATGATAAAATATTAAACTTCTAGAAGAAAAATATCCAAGTATCTCCAAGATGTTGACATAAGTAACAATATTTTAAATAGGACACAATAAGCAGCAAACGGAAAAAGTTGTGAAATTGGGGTGTCATTAAAATTAAGGACTTCTGCTCATCAAAAGACTCCAATAAGAACGGAAATGCAGCTGCACACCAGGTGAAAATATTCACAATGCAAATGGAAGTCAAGGGGTTCTTATTTTACCAGGTACTTCTCCTTTGTAGCACTCCTCACAAGGGGCAGTTTTTCATTTATTTCTGTAATTTTCAGGTCAGTTATCTCTTCTTATCTAGGTCCAAATTTCCGTGAAAGCTGTAACGTTCCATTATTTTACTCACGATTTTGTCTACTGCCTGATACCATGCTTAATGAGTAAAAGGCAGTCAATAGCTGCTTGGTGAATGAATAACTCTAATTTAAACCTAATACAAAATCAATGAAGAATCAAAACGGAATGATGTATTTGTGCATTTAATTTTATTAATAAGATAAATTTTATTTGCTCATCTCTGTCAGTCTTCTATAGCAAGAAAATTGAGTATATTTAAAATTTTACCAAAAAAAAGCAAAATGGCCCTGGCTGGCATAGGATTGAGCATGGGCTGTGAACCAAAGCATCGCAGGTTCAATTCCCAGTCAGGGCACATGCAGGCCACGGCTCCCAGCAACCGCACATTGATGTTTCTCTCTCTCTCTCTATTTCTCCCTCCCTTCCCTCTCTAAAAATAAATAAATAAATCTTTAAAAATATTTTTTAAAAAGCAAAATGAATGATAAACAGAAAAATCTTAAGAAGTTGGAGAATGGCTTGCAGAGTAAAGACATGGAAATTTGAGAATGTGAACTATATTATAAAGATTATTTAGATTTATTGAAACCTAATACACTACCCCTCAATAATTATTGAAAGCAAGATATGTACAGAATTAAACTGACTAGCCTCACCAAGGTTTTAAGTCAGGTTATTTGTTTACTTCATGAAGATAAAACTAATTTAAGACTCTAGCTCTACCTATAAATTCCAGGACAGTATGCATCAAACAGTTACATTTCACATTCAAATACTGTCTAATCACTCAGATATTACACTTCTTAGCCGTTCTCCAAACATATTAACAAGAGTTAGGAAGCAATATGCTTAATGATAAATTTGATAACAATCACCTTTAAAGATACATTGCATTTTAACTTTAGATTTGTCTGCAGATGAAAATCGAAATGCAACAACAGTTTGTAATATACGCCGTGTA